TTTTTTTTTTTTTTCCCCCATGGAACAGTATATGGAAATTCCATTAATGAAACTTGGTTTAAAGTCAACTGTCAAGACCAAGCATGGTAGTATGTACCTACAATCTGGGAAGGAGGCTGAGGCAAAAGGATTCTTTGAGTATGAGGCTAGGGACTGGGAGATGACTCAGTGGTTAAGAGTGTTTGCTGCTCTTTCAGGGGCCCAGATTCGATTCCCAGTACCCACATGCTAGCTCATTGTCACTGGTCACTCTAGCTCCAGGGGATCTAACACCTTCTTCTGACTTCTGTGGGTGCCAGGCACGCACGTGGCACAAAGAGATTCATGCAAATCACTCACACATGTTTAAAAAAAAAAAGAAGAAGAAGAAAGAAAGGCAGGCATGGTACTGCCTACTTTTAACCTCCGCTCTGAGGAGGCGGAGGCAGAGAATGTCTGTGAATCTGAGGCCAGCCTGCTGCACACAAAGAATCCCACACATCCAGAGAACTATCTTGGAAACAAAGAGTAGAGGCCAGTTTGGGCTACAACAGCAAGACTCTATCTCAGAAAATGCAAAACAAATCAATCTACAAAACAGAGCCAACAAGGTAGCTTACACCTATAATCACAGCATATGGGAGGCTAAGGTGATTTTCAGACCAGCTAGAGAAATGTCTCAGTTGTTCTTGCAGAAGACCAAGGTTCCACTTCCAGCTCCCACACAGCGGCTCACAACTGTCCGTAACTCCAGTTTCAGGGTATCCAACACCCTCTTCTGACCTCTTAAGGCACCAGGCACGCAAGTGGCGCACAGACAAACACATGAGAAAAACACTCACACACAAAATGAACCATCTTTTAAAAAAAGTCTGAGCTCCTATATCAGAAAAAACCCAAAGAGGTAAATGGCCAAATGTTCTTGCTTGGCTCAGATTATACATGGATACCTTCAGAGAGGTAGAAATTCCAAGAATATTCCTAAGGACAAGACTCCAATAACAGAAGAGTAAAATTTTCTATTCTGATTTCTAGACAAGGTTTCTCTGTGTAGCTCTGGATACCCTGGAACTCTGCAGACCAGGCTGCCTTCAAACTGAGAGATCTGCCTGCCTTTGTAGACCAGGCTGGCCTTGAACTCAGAGATCACCTGTCTCTGCCTTCCAAGTACTGGGATTAAAGGCATACATAACCACTGCCCAGCATTTAAAAAAAAAAAAAAAAGTTTCTGGATAGTTTGTGTTATTCATATATTCTAATAAACAGTCCTAAATTTGCATTCTGGAAAATCCAAAGTTTCTTTTTAAAGATTTGTTTTTATTTACTGAGACAGTCTCACTATGTAGTCCTGGCTGGCCTGGAATTTATAAAGATCTGCTAGCTCCTGTCTCTGGAGTGCTAACACCCAGCTATTCCTTTCATTTTACGTGTATACACATGTGGGTGCCCGTGGAGACAAAAGGAAGGCTGGATCCCTCACAGCTAGAGTGCCCAGTTTAGGTGCTAAGAACCAAACTTAGGTCCCTTTGGAAAAGCAGAAAGTGCTCTAACTAAAGAGCCACTTCTCGAACCCTAAGGGAAAAAGCAAGCATTTCAAGGCTCCAAACCAATCAAGATTACTGTTATTACTAAGCCAAGCCTGCCTCCCCCACCCCGTAAATAAAACAAAGCTGCATTTTTCTAGGCAACCTACAACTCCTTTGAAATTATGTGCATACACTTTCCATAAACCCAGGTATGGTAGTGCAGGCCTATAATACCAAGGCTGAGGTAAGATTGTGAGTCTATACAGCCAGACCTATCTCAAAAAACAAACACCAATAAACCAACCCTTCACTGAATACCAACTAAACTTAATTCCCCAGTTAGCATTATTTTGATTCCAAGTGTAACAGAATTTTCATTACCTGGGGTTGGGAGGGTATCCAGATGGATATGCAGAGATTCCACTTGGCATGCCTGGCATGTAGGAGGCTAAAAATAATTTTTAATATTTGAAAGTCATATGCACAGTCCTGAATATAAAGGCTATAGAGTAACAGGTATCACTGTCACACCACAGCAAAATTTCACACCAAGAATCCAACCTCAGGCTCAAAACAAAACCAGCATCTGGCTTTTATTAGTTCTTTAAGGAATAATATTTTGAAGTCACTTAATTCCTAAATCATTATATGTGAGTGACAACACTCATGCAAATCTCAATAATAAATGACTGGAAGACAGGCCAACCTGGTAAGCTTTACAGCCTTAAAATTAATCTGTAATTTAGGAGAATTTGCTCTAAGACCTGCTTCTTAGAAGTTAGTCCACCTCTGCATCTAAGAAATCTTGGCCACATTGACTGAATTGCACAACTGGTTTTGTTGGCTTGTTTGAGAACCTAAGACTCCAAATCACTATAAGAAATCCTATACAAAACTTACATCCACACACAGTTAGACTGGCTTTTAAAAGCTTGAACATACTAGGGGGAAAAAGTTAAAATGTCATTAGTCTTCAAGAATGCCTCATTCATTCATAGAACCTGTAAGGTCAGTGATGCCAAAGGCTAAATTTGGCCTTGATGGAAAAGGACTTGCCTTCAGAGTCAATTTTACTCAAATGTTTCTCATTAGATACAATGGTGAATCAGTACTTAGGTCAATAAATAATGTTTTACTGTCTTCTATATGACAGGAAACAGGGATTTGATGAGAGGTGGGAAGAGATGGGGAAAGGAGAAGAGAAGAGAAGAGAAGAGAAGAGAAGAGAAGAGAAGAGAAGAGAAGAGAAGAGAAGAGAAGAGAAGAGGATGGTACAAAGGAAAGGCATGAGACAAGAAGGGATCCTCGGCCACATGTTGCTTAGAATCAGGCTGGGGCGGTAAAGAGTCAGCAGTGGCTGTTCTGCTAGTCACGCTGGCAGGGAAGGCAGAGTGCTATCTATGGGATCATCCAGGAAGGGAGCTAATTTAAGTCTGAGAGATAGAGTAAACCTCAAGGTAAAGGTGAGAGGTAGAATGATCTACTAGAGCAATGGCAGATGAAGCACGAAGAAAACGAGACACGAAGCCTTCAAAGAATGACCTTCTAGAGGACAGGTTACAGGCAAAGTGGGAGAAGTGTGCTGGGCTGCTATCAACAACAGGCTTGGGAACCTTTACCAGCCTAACACATCAGGGTTCACAGCCTCCTTAGGATGTACCAATAGATGCTGTACTACTTTTTCCTAAGTATAATGAAGGAAGACATTCAGTATTTCATTAAACAACAACAACTTCCAAAAGCTCACAACTCCATTCCACACATAGACACTTTCTAAGCAGGAAGCACAGTTGACATTATGAGTATCTCTTTAAAATGGCGAGTCCACTGTTAAGTATTAGCAACACACATGGTCAGTATCATTCTCTTCCATGCTAGTTTCTCCAATGTACAACCACTATCTCAGAGTCATAATTTCCTCGTAAGCATAAGCAATTTTTCTTTTCTTAAAAACGGGTTATTTCATGGCTTGGAGAGATGGCTCCATGGTTAAGAGGTAAAACAGAGAGCGCATGCATGTACACCCCTCCCCCCCACGGTTCGAGGGCTAGAGAAATGGCTCAGTGGTCCTGAGCACGTAATGCTCTTGCAGAGGACCCGAGTTTTATTCTTAGCACCCATAACTCACAGATGGACAGCTCACAACTGACTGCAACTTGAGTTACAGGGGATCTGATGCCTCTGGCCTTCCTCGGCACCTGAACTCGTGTGCACATACCCACACAGACACACTGACACAGGACTAAAATAAAACTTTAAAAAGATGAAGTTTGGATATAGTGTCTGAGTGTCTTGCCTGCAATTACTTCTGTACTGGTATGACTGAATGCCTGGCACCTGCAGGGTCAGAAGAGGGCACCAGATCTCCCAGGAGTGAAGTTCTAGATGGTTTTAAGTCCATGTGGATCCTCTGCAAGATCAACAGGTGCTCTTAACTGCTCAGCTGTCTTTCGAGTCCCAGAATGTTACTATGCTGCCCAGAACTCCATGGCTCACACAATTCTCTTGGCTAAACTTCCAAATCACAGGCACACACTATTGCACTTATTTTTGTTTTTTAAACAATGGCTTGTAACAGGACTCATCACTTAAAAATTACCCTGAAAGAGATAAAAAAATGTTCTGAGCAATGATTTCTCAACTATTAAATATTTATTCAAATATGTGTCCAAGATTCTTGGCTATTACTTAGTACATGTATGGGAGGACTCCAGACCTTTGCTCATAGTGATACCTGATAATGATGGCTATTATCTAACTGCCTAGAATGTTACTAAAATTTGAACAGAGAGTGTGCAGTGTCCAGGGCCACAGCGATTGACCTGAAGCAGCGCTTCAGGGCTGGAGGCGACCGTGGGCACAAAGCTGCACTGCACCCGTGACTAGTGTGGCCTCTTTATGGAGTACTGTACTTCCAAGGCAACGTGAAACTGAGAGAAGGAGAGAAAGGCTCCCTTTGTCTTGAGTGCTGAGCAAATAAATGAGGGGATCAGACCAGACAGTATCTGTTAACACTCAGTTAACAGGCCTTAACTAAGACAAAAACAAACTAACATCCTTACTCCAGGAAACACTAGTCCTAACAAGCTCACTCTCAGAGGGAGGGGAGCGGGAGTCACTTCCCTGACATTCCCATTCTGCTCAAGGATCAAGATACTCTCCATGAAAAACGAGTAAAAACAAGAGCATGTCTTTAGGCAGAAGGAAATAAGGCTCACATAACTTGTCTTTAAAGAGAAGTTTGTCAAAATCACAACTTAAAACACAGTAAAATCAGTACAAAACAAAAACAAAAGAAGCAAGTACAACCAACTCCCAATTACCCAGTATGCTTGTCAAGTATCAGCAAGGATCATTCATATGATCAGAACAGGGGTGGGGCTATTTATGGGGTGCACAGTACTGTCCCCGTGCTCTCACCCTTCCAACAAGGTAGTCACAAATTGGCTGTACCGCAGAGAAGCAGCCAAGAGCTAGATGTCTAATTGTGTATACCCAGAATAGCTCAAGGGAATGAGCTAGCTGATGTAATTAATTCTCTATAATACAGATCCTGGAGGCACAGAGAAAGCTCAGGCTACCTTTCAAATTACATTTGCTTTCCAGGCTTTTCCATGGCATGCATAATTTAAAACTTCTAGCTCTATTTGGCATCTTCTCTTCCACTCTGAAATCCAGAACATCCACACTTTGATGTCTACCCACAGATGGAAGCCCAAATGCCAGTCTTTGGTAGGAACCTGTACATGCAGATGTGGGGCTTCAGAATACTTCCAAAAACTCCACTAACTTGAGAAGCTAAAAAGCAAAGTGAAGTTATTTGAAGGGTTTTACAGGCTTTGTTTCAGTAACTTTTAAGATCAGATCAAGCTACTTACTATTTGGTGGCCCTGTTGCTGTGTATGGTGGGTAGGACGCAGAAACAGTAGGACGGGAGAACACTGGAGGCTCCTCTCCAAATATCACAATCATGATCTGAATAAGCTCCAGCAACTCTGACCGTGGCTAAAAAGGGTGGAAAACACAAGAAATCATGTCACCTATAATTATGTCTCAGCAAAATAGAAAGTTTGGTCTTTCTGCTGTTAGTTTTTAACTCTCTGACAATTTTCTTTACTCTCTTGGCTTTTTATCATAGGTATGCACGAGCACATATACCACACTGTGCTCAGGAATCAGAAGACAACTCTGGAGTAAATTCTCTCCTTCCATCTCTACTTGAGTTCTAGGGATCCCCAGGCTTGTGTAGCCTATGCCCTTACTCGTGAAGCCATGTGGCTGGCCCCAGCTATTTCCCTGAACACACCAATTTTCAAATCAGACAACTTTACATGAAGCACGGAAACATGTCTGTGTCTAACCCCTGTGTAGCTCTCTTTTAGTGTAGTGTTAAGTTTACATGCTGGGCATCACTTGTGAAAAAGGATGGAGCAGGCAGAAGTTTCCAGGAACAGGAACTGGTGAGGAGCACTTCATTCGAGCGGGTGGGGCCTGTTCCAGGGCAGGCTCTACAAGCTATCCAACTGAGTTCTCGCTCTCAAAATAAATGTGATGGTTAACAACATCTTGGTTGTCAACAAGACTGGATCTGAGATACTCCCTGAGTGGGCAGAACCTTCCCATGTCGGCCCAGATACAAGAGGTCAGAGGACAAGGCAGCGTTGCTTTTTCTGCCAATCATCCACCTCCCCACTGCCACCTCTGCTGCCACCTCCTCTGACACAGAAAGCCAGCTGTTTTGCCTTTCTAGAGACATGGCTTGGCAGTTAAGAGCACTGGCTACTTTTGCAGAGGTCTTGGGTTCAATTCCCAGGACCTCCTCTGGTGGCTCACAACTGCCCACAACTCTAATTCCAGGAAATCTGATGTTGTCTTCTGGCTTCCACAGGCACCAGGCTCAGCATTCATACACACACACACACACACACACACATACACACACACACACTCTTTAAAAAATCCAAAAAAACTTCCTTAATAATATATTCATTGTATTGCTTCTGTTCCTCTAGAGAGCAGTGATGCAATGTAGGCTTCTGGCTATTTTGTACAAATGTTGCTCAGCTCTCAGCCAGTTACACTATCAGAGGCAGAAACAGGAGTTACCAACTGTTGCCCTTGACAGCAAGCAATGCTTCGAAAAATAAGATCTGAATTCCCAAACATACCCCATCAGTGTACCCGTTTTAAAACTAATATTCTACCTTTGAACCTCGTCTGTTTAAGTTTATATTCAACTAAACAAAATGGTGAATAAGCATTATATAGACTATTTCCCTTTCAGCTATTTAGTATTACAGTTCATGTACGTCATCTTAGTACTTGTTTGAGGACAACACAATATAGACTCTACCTCAAAAACCAAACAGACAAACAAACAAAACCACTACCACCAACAAAAACTAAACAAAGGAACAATGAAAGCCTTTTCTAACTGCCTCAGTCCACTGTCTGAACTTACTTTACCATTCTTGGAATTTTCCTTGAGTGTAAACTGAAGACAGAAGCTAGTGAGTAGAACATACATGTAATTACATCACAGAGACACATAATACTTACGTGTTTCCAGTCATGTAGATAAGGTAGGTAGATCTTCCCATTTGCATCTACATGTTTTCCTGTTTTAATAGTCATTGAACTAGTAGGCTTAACAAAACAGATAGGGGGATTATATGGGTACGTGTCCAGCAGCCACAGGCATATTGGAATATTATATGTATTACCTGAGAGAGAAGAAGAAACCTCAGTTACTCCTATTGTTTTCCAGGATTGTAAGACACAAGATTGAGAGCAACAAACACCACCATGGCCACCATCAGCGCTATTTTTTTAATTTCAGGTGCTTCTTGGAGCTTTGGTTTGTGAGCCACCTCAAGAAGGTCAAAGTGCTGACCGCTTTCTGCAGACAACATTCTTTTGCTCCAACCTACCGTCTGAGATGGAAGGAAAGTGATGCACCCATTCTCTTCCAGAAGCTAGTCTCCACCCTCTAACAGTTAACCGATGCCACCCATGCTTATGGCGGTTTCAGTGGTGAAACAGAATCTCAGCTGAGAAATCTGACTACTTGGCAGTCAAATGGAAGGATCTCAAAAGATGCAAAGTCACCACATTAAACATAGAGCAGTCTTTAATGCTCTCAAAGCCCAATGTTGCAAGCAACTGTTTACCACCTCTGCAGCTTACATGTACTTCACCTTCACAAAGTTTCGGCAACACAAATAGGTAAGCATGTTTCACCTCAAGAAATGAGATACTAACAGAACTTCTGATTCCTCCTTCTCACCATCCAGACACATCTACAATGTGTAGCTCTAACACATGAAGCCTTAGGTTTATTATCAACATTGAGAAGTCTCTGCTCTTTGAACAAGAATCCCCCACAGTAACCTGGACCTGCATGCTATGACCCATGAAGAAGGGTTGAGGGAAAAGAGCAGGCTCACTTCAATATCCATACACACTTCCACATCCCTAGGGGCAACAGAGCAGTTAGTAATTAAGCTTGAGTCCGTCACAGATGCTCTCAGTTAACGCTTTTCCTTCAGGATTATGTCAGGAGCAAGTGGCTGACAAGCATCATTATCTCTGTGATCTTCCTATATGCCCCTATTCTCCTTTTTGATCTCACAGCACAGCAAACACAGAACTGTTGTGTAACATTTCCCTACAGGTTCATGTTCTAAACCAGTGGTTCTCAATCTATGGATCATGAGCCCTTTGGGGTTCCACAGTAGATATTATGCTTTTCAGAGATTTACATTATGATTCAGAACAGTAGCAAAATCATAGTTACAAAGTAGCAATGAAATAATTTCATGGTTGAGGGGTTACCACAACACCGGGCACTGTATTAAAGGGTTGCAGCATTAGGAAGGCTGAGAACCACTGTCCTAAACACCTGTTTGCCAGCTGATGGTGATATTCCGGGGCCTATGTCACAGAACTGGGTCACTAGGGGAGGGCCTTTGAAGGTTCAGCATCTTTCTCTGGGGGCATGTCCTAGCTAGCCACAAGGAATAATAATGAATACAACTGTCCCAAAGCACAACAGGCTCTTAAGAAACTGAGTGTTCACTTATCACTGAGTATAACAGAGAGCTGACTGGTTAGCAGAGACTAGCTACCCAAATCGCGTCCAAACAACAACCATAAACATGTGCCTTTTCCTGTTTGTGTAGGACACACCAGGCTCGTGCAAGCCTTCACATGTATCACTTCCATGAAGCATTGGCACCCGAGCCAGGTAACATTCCCCAAATGCTGGGGAATCCACGGGCACAAAGTTCAAACTGCACAGCAGGAATCCAAACATAATTTCTGTCCCGACTTTAAGCACCACCTCACCACTACCCAGTACAGTTCCCACGGTCAGAAAGGTATGAATGGTGAGAAAGGCTGAACTAGCAGACAGTAGCACGATTCCATGAAACATTAAGTTCTGTCTGTATTGTAAAGCACTTGTTTGTTGCTCTATCTTGACAGAGAAGTTAAACAATAATGACAATAAAAACCCAACTAACTGTGAGGTGCTGCTGCCAAATAAAGTTGAAATAGAGCTGAAGAGAAGACCTCTATCTTGTCAAGAAGGCCCTTAGAATGTACTCAATGCACTTTTAACTCCTTGGCAGAGGTTCCTGCCAGCATAGAGAGCTACTGTGAGAACATAAACATGTTCTTTACCTCTGTAACGCACAGGGATTGTTCCAGTGAGGTTCACCAGCTCCCTGGAACTGCCATCATTAAAAACTAGAAGGAAAAACAGAGATTTCATCGTGAGCATTTTTGTACACACCATCATGTAGGTTACTCTTTCATCAGTTCCCTATGGAATCTGGCTAACTTGTCAGTGTTCAGTAACAGAGCCTCCTTCATTGACTCACTTACTTTAAAAAGCTCTGGAGTACTTGTAAAAATGGATCTTCTGAGTGCTGTATTTCCAAATACGAACTTTTGGTCTGCAACTAACATGACTTTAAGCCTGTTTAGAAAAATCACTTTGAGCTGGGTGGTGGTAGGGCACGCCTTTAATCCCAGCACTCAGGGAGGCAGAGGCAGGTGGATCTCTGTGAGTTTGAGGCCAGCCTGGTCTACAGAGTGAGTTCCAGGACAGCCAAGGCTACACAGAGAAACCCTACCTTGAAAAACCTAAATAAATAAATAAAATTAAAATCACTCTGAAGTTATTGTGGTGTAAATCTAAGATGGATGCAATGATTATGCAAAAACTGTATCCCCAGTAAAGTTGTTTTTAACAAATTTAAGAATAAATATATCAGTAAGTAATAAAAATCTCCGTCAAAGCTGTCAATAGAGCTCCATGGAGCAGCTGTCTTGAATGAAGACCCTGGACTTGATCTTTAGTACCACTAAGAAGGAGGAAGACGTCACTGCCAAATGACGCCACACTAAAAGCTCACCTTCCATCATTTCACTTTAGAAACCCCCACTCATTGTGGCCGGGGTGTAGCCAAGCTGTAATGGAGTGCGTGCCTAGATGCCTGAAGCCCGGGGCTCCGTCACCAGCACTGTGTAAACTGGGCATGGTGACACATGCCTACAGCCCTAACACTTGGAAGGTAAAGGCAGGAGAATCGGAAGTTCTTCTACACATACATCATCACTGCCAGTCTCAATTCCAAGGTGGTATTAAATTACAGTACTGGAAAGAGATGTCTCCATAGTTAAATACAGACACCTTCTTTCAACATGTTATTTTATTTATTTTTATTTTATGTTTATGTGTGTTAAGTATTTTGCTTGCATGCAAGTGAACCATGTATGCATGTACACTCAGAGGGTAATAGAAGAGGGCCTCAGATTCCCTGAACTAGAGTTACAGGCTATTGCAGTCTGTCATGTAGCTGCTAGGAATTGAACCTGGATCCTCTGTAAGAGCAGTATGTGCTCTTAACTGCTGAGTCATCTCTCCAGTCCCTGTCCTGAACTCTCCTTTTATTCTTAAAAAAAATTATTATGTGTGCCATCACACCTGGCTTCCTTTTATTCTTAAAAGAAATTATTATATGTATAAGGGTGTTTTGTTTACATGCATGCCTGTACAACATGCATGCTTGGGATTGGCAGAACCCTGAAACTGGAGTCACAGAGAGTTGTGTGTGCCATGTGGGTGCCAGAAATTCAAATGAACCTTGATGTCTTTTATGTCTTTTGCATAATTTGTGCTACACAAACTGCTTTCTTTCTAACACTTGTTTAGAGTGGACACTGTCACACAGGGCAAACGCTGCACTGACAGATCTGTAGAAGGACATGTGGTTCACATAAGCAACGCCTGCTCACCCGGAGGCTGGGGATGAATTGGATGTTGTCTGACACCTGATCATCCTTTGCTCTCACCCAGCTCTCCCAGAATTCTGAGTACTGTTTCTCAGTCACTAGAACTCACTCATGAACAGGTCCCATGTACCTTACAATGGTTTCTTATAAAGCTTATTACTAACCAACCCTTCCTCCCTAGGCTCTTCTCCTGAGCACCACTTCTCAGAAAACAGAACCCATTCTGTGGAAGAGGTCACAGCTACTTCGCAAGGGAGTTAGATGTAGTCATACCTTTGTTGTCATAACTACCATGAAGAAATCTTTTTCCAAAGTTTTACTGTGTTTAAATATGTAAAAAAAAAAAAAAAAAAAAGAAAAAGAAAAAGGCGGGGGTACTGGAGAGATAGGGATCCGACGCCATCACATAGACATACATTCAGGCAAAACACCAATGCACATGAAATAAAAATAACTAATATCTAGAAAATATGTTAAAAAAAAAACCCACTTGGCATCAAGACTCCAGAAATTTAAACCAGACTAAGTTGTGCTGGGCCAAGATTCATATTTTGCCTCTCCACAGATCACTGTTAGGACTTCCACGTGGATTCAAGATGAAATGGCCTCTAAAGGCTCTTGTGTTGAAGTCCTGGCCTTTGACGAGGTGACTGGACCATGAGAACCACGGCCTCAGTAGTGAATCATAAAGGACAGGCATTATTGAGGTGGCAGGACCTGGAAAGGTGGGCCAGGTTGGAGTATCTCCTATGCCAGGCCTCTTACTCTTCCTCTGCTCCCTTGCTTTATGAGGTGAGCAGCTTTTCTCCACCATCTCCTTCTGCCATGACGCTCAGACCCACCTCAGGTCCATAGCAATGAAGTCAAGAGATCACTGACTGCAGTGTGAGACTGAGCCACAGCCAGTCTTTTAAAGAGGTTGATTTCCCAGAGACTCTTCCTATGAGAAAAGCTGGCACACGCTGTAACAAACAAAGCAAGCACACACAACCACTCTGACAACAGCAGCTCTTCTGCAGACAATTGTCTAATTTTGTGCATTGTGAAGTTAGAATATGTTCTTGGGCAGAATGATTCATGCCTACAGTCACAGCACTTGGAACAGTGAGGCAGGAGGATTACCATGAGTTCAATCACAGCCCCAGCCATGTAAGTTCCAGGAGAGCTTAGGCTAGAGTAAGAGTGAGAACCTATCTTAAAAATCAAACAAACAGGGGGCTGGAGAGATGGCTCAGTGGTTAAGAGCACTGTCTGCTCTTCCAAAGGACCCAGGTTCAATTCTCAGCACCCATATGGCAGCTCACAACTGTCTATACCACCAATTCCAAGGGATCTGACACCTTCACACTAATGCACATAAAATAAAATAAATTATTTAAAAAAAAGAATTAAACAAACAAAAAAATTCACGCGTTGAAACACTACATTTAAATTTAGTATGTTCTCTAAAGCATTTTTATAATGAATGAAAGCAAGAAATAAAAAGGAAATTGTCCCGGGTTTGAACCTTAACAGATAATAGTTTAGACTGAGTTCAGCTATATAAAACCAGAAAACTTTGTGTGATGATGATAGCTATCAGTTTTGATGAACAGCATGCAGTAAAAACCACACTTAAACACAGGGCTTAGTAGTACATGCCTGTAATCCCAGCAGCTGTGAGGCTGAGGCAGGCCAATCTCTGAGTGGAAGGCCAGGGCCTGGCCCGCTGGAGCCACTTTGGGTTTCGTCAGTCAATACAGTGTGTAGACAGAAATAATGCAGACTGAGGGAGCTTGTCCCAGGTTTGAGAGGAGGCCTCGTCATTTACCGTCACCTCCACCTCTCCATAGGACCTATTGTTTTCACAACCCTGCCTGCAGGAAGTGCAGTCTACAAAGCCTCAGCAACAAAATCTCACTCTCTAATTCAGAGCCAAGGACCTCCTAGTGGACAGGAGGACAAGGGCACATGCTTTCCCCTGGCCCTGGCCCTGATGTGCTCAAGGTAGGACTGCTATATCTTAAAAGAGAAAAACTCCAAATGTTATTTCTTAAGTTCTCAGTACAAAGACAAATTGCCATCTAAAACTAAAGACCATTATTAAAAAATACTTTCCAGTTGGGTGTGGTATTGCACACCTTTAATCCCAGCAGAGGCTCGTGAATCTCTGTGAGTTCCAGGCCAGTCTGGTCTACAGAGTGAGAGAGTTCCAGGACTAAAGCAGAAAAACGGTGTCTTGAAAAACCAAAACAAAAAAAAAAATCCAGATTTATAAAATGAAAGGGACTGTTAGTCCCAACTAGTCTTGTGATGTGACCCTGAGAGCTGAGAAGCTGGGGGAGGGGCTGAGGCCCAGCAGCTAAGACACTTGGCATCTCCATGGTAATCCACCTCTCAGAAAATTTTGTTGCAATGAAACTTAAGTTTTACAAATCTGTCTTAGCTGGGTGGTGGTGACACCACTTTAATCACACATAGCACCTGAGAGCAGAGACAGGCAGATCCCAATGAGTTCAAGGCCAGCCTGGTCTACAGAGTGAGTTCCAGGACAGCCAGGGCTACAGAGAAACCCTGTATTGGGAGTGGGGGTGGGAGAGTCTTATAGAGATGATTAGAGAGGGGAGGCAGACACAGAAGAGACAGAGACAGGCAGGCTGAACTGACTATCTTTATTGCTCAGGCTGGCCTAGATTCCTAGGTTCAAGTAATCCTCCTGTTCCAGGTCCTTGAGTAGTTGAGATTACAGGTTCATGATGCCAAGATATGCATTTGATTTTGTTTAATGTTTAACTGTTAAAACTTAACCACAGAATTTTCCCTTTAACCCTCAGCTGCTCTTAGCAATGTTCTTCACAACTCTGTCAAATGGCCTGACAAGATGGCTCACTGGGTACGGGCTGCAAAGCCTAATAACTCAAGCTCAAGCCCCACAATGACACGAAGAAAGAAGCACAGACTCCTGTAGTTTGTCCTCTGATCTGCACATGCATGCTATAGCATTTGGACTCTAAGTATTTTGGAAAGGAAAAGAAAAAAACTTTAAAAAATGATAAACTAAATTATATTTAAAATTCTCTCCTATGGGCTAGAGGTACAGCATGCAGGAGACTGGGTTTGGTCCCCCAACACAGAAAAACAAATATCTCCCCCAAGTATCAAAGTAATACTTTTTAAGACTTGGAAGGAAAAAAAAAAAAAAAAAAAAAAAAAAAAAAAAAAAAGGCTTGGAAGCACTCAACAGATCTATTTTTCAGACTTATTCTCTCTTTCCTGTTTCCCGACACCTTTGTTGGGTGGAAGTTCAATCCTTCAACTGGAAACCCAACAAACTGAAAAGGAAAACAAGAAAACTGTAGCCATAGACACAAGGAAAAAAGTCAATCACAGTGACAGATACTCTTCTTGAATAAACTTACCATATGAATCCAATACAGGTTTGAGATCTTTGTACATAGCGATGACATTGACAGTTTGACGGACAGTTAGATCTCTGTATTTGTACTGAAAAGCAAAAATTACAAAGTTTACTTAAAACCAATGTGCATCACTTTACTGCTGGATTTTCTTTTCTTTTTTGGTTTTTGAGACAGGGTTTCTCTATGCAGCCCCACTGTCCTCAAACTCAGAGATCTACCTGCCTGCCTCCAAGTGCTAGGATTCAAGGTGCGAGCTACCACTACCCGGCTGTATTTTCTTAAAATGTTATTTTTCTTTGTTGCAGTCTTCTTGAACCTTCTACTCATCGTTAACATTAAAGCCTAAGGGAACCTCAGGGAACTTATTTCTTTACCACAACCCTTTCTGAGAAAGGGAACCCTTCTGAGGTTGCTCACTACTATTTTAGTACTTATTTTATTTTTATAAATTACAGTTTATTCACTTTGTATCCCAGCTGTAGCCCCCTGCCCATCCCCTCCCAATCCCACCCTCCTTCCCTCTTCTTCTCCTATGCCCCTCATTATTTTAGTACTTTTATTCAAGTTAAAAGGCCCCATCCAAAGGGCTCAGTGGCTTAAGAGCACTAACTGTTCTTCCATAGGGCTCAGGATGGAGTCCCAGCACCCACATGACAGATCATAACAGTCTGTAACTCTAGTCCCAGGGGAGCCAATGGCTCTTCTGGCTTCTTCAGGTACCAGGTACACACAAGGTACTTGGACATACATGCAGGCATTTTTTTAAAAAAAGAGTTCCCATCCAAAAAAGGTTTTTAATGAGGTTTGATTTTATTGTCTAATCTGGCTTTAAAATTAATGATCTTCTGCCTCAAGCCCCAAGAAGCTGGGGAAATATAGGTTACTCAAAAACTATGCTTGCATCTTTCTTTTAACAAAACTTTCCCGTACACTTCCCTCATTCTCACTCTGTAGCATTCGCTGTCAACAACCACCATTTTGCAACAGATCACTCACCCCACCACTCTCTCCTCTCCTCTTGAATTAGCACACGGGTTTAGGCACATCTAGCAGGAGCTAACTGATAATAACACACTGATGCTCACAGCTTGATAAGCCCTACCCATGCAAAGCTCTTAACTGGCTTGTCTTAAAAAGCAAAACAAGCAAGCAAACAAACAAACAAAACAGTCAGCTGCAGAGGCTATGACCCAGACGGAGAGAGCTCACCTAGCACGCCCACGTTCCCCTCAGTACAGGAAAAAAAGAAAAAATAAATAAAAAGCAACCAGCTATTCCAACAGACTCTGCTAGCAAGGCAGAAAACAAAGCATCAGTATGACACAGTTCTTTACTGCTAAAGGATATTAATCATATGAACAGCCCACCTTTAACCTAGTATTTATTTGATAGTGACAGCCTCATCTCTATCTTAACACACATGAATTAGTTTTTGGATCTAAGAAGTTATGATATGCAAGATATTTATGTTCTTGCCCCTTCTCTCTAGTGAGTTCACTGCAGAGAGGGCCATGCTTCTTCACTGGGAAGAAACACGTACTGGGTATGCCTGTGGTCTCAGCAGCCACTGCTTAATGTCTACAACAATCTTCTTCAAGCCTCCTACAGTTTTGGACATTCCACTGTGGAGACAGTGAGATGTGATCAGATTTGGATGTTTGAATGGCAAGGATTTTCTGTGTTGGGAAGAGGACTCAATAATTTTTGCCTCAGCAACAGAATGGGTGCACGTATATTTTATACCCTTCACAAAACTGCTTATTAACGTCGCCAATGCCTGCTATATGGTGTGGCATGCCCAATTCTATCCTTCATTTTATTCAATCCCCAAGATCCACATGGTAGAAAGAAAGAACGGACTCCTGCAGCTTAGCTCTGACCACCATATGCTCACTGGCACATGTGCAAATGTGCACACACAAATGATGAACATAATGAAAAACTAAAAAACCCAAACCCCATGTCTTCTAAAGTATCAGAGCTCGACTCCTTCTTATCCTTTGTTCTTTCCCTTCTAATCAATTATTACTGAGCCACAGGACTCACTCCCTTATCTTTTTCATCTAATTTCACTTCTTTAGTGTTCTCTCTTGCATTTTTAAGTATTTAACCTCACACATTAAAGTATTTAAGTATTAAAGTATTTAAGTATTTAAACTCGCACATTTCCCATACAGGGCTGGCAAGATGGCTCAGGAGGTAAAGGAGCATGCTGAGCAGTTAGGCTTGCCCCCTAAGTGTGGTCCCTAGAAGCCCACAAGGCAGGAGAGAATGACTTCAGCGGCTTGTTTCGGACTTTCAAACGCTTGCCTTGGCATATATGTGCGCCAATATGCACATGGACATCTTTTTAAAAACACTTTCAATCTGAACCTCTTCCATAAACTCTAGACATGCGTCCCTTCTTTCTGCAATTTCAGTGACCCACACTTAACCTCAATCCTGAAGTATTTGAGAGAGCAGCCATCGCCCTTGTGCATGCACACCAAGCCCATGCGGGACAGGACTGGAAGTGAGAGGATCTGCACCCTATGAGTGGTGCACCGTGGAGTTACTCAAGGACTCCAAGGATAAGCATGCTCAAGTTCATCAGGAACAGGGTGTGGACGAGAGGAAGCAGGAGCTGGGCAACAAGATGGCTGCCATAAGGAAGGCAGCAGCCAAGAAGGACCAATGGCCCCTCTCCTTCCCCAATACATTTGCTTTGCAAAACAAAACAAACACCAGAAAATTCTAGAAATAAACAATTCATTACATTAAATTGCACTTCTTTTTTCCCCTCTCAAAACAGGGTTTCTCTGTGTAGCCCTGGCTGTCCTGGAACTCACCTGGCTAGCCTTGAACTCACAGAGATCCACTTGCCTCTGCCTTCCAGTGCTGGGATTAAAGGTGTGTGCCATCCAGTAAATTGAATTTCTAAGTAGCATGATATCTTGATGAAATCTCAGTCCTACTGTCCTGCCCAGGAAGTGAGTCATCTCTCTGTCCAGCATAAGTACACTATACAGACTACCCCACCTGTTAGTGACTGACTGTCCCAGTGCTTGTGTTTAAGAAACTATTTTACTCAAAGCCAGAAATTTATAACTGCTTTACCTTGTTATATTATTATTAACCTCTTACTGAAACTAACTTGTAAGTTAAATTTCCTTACAGAAATGCATGCATAGGAAAAAGCACAATCTATATGGTTCAATACATCTGCTTTGTCTTGGAATGTCTCCACTATGGGGAAGGGAAGAGGGAGTGCTTTGTATCTAGTTACCAGTTTGACAGCTGTGTATCTACTGCACGTTAAACTGGCCAGGAACAATCTCCTTATCACCCTCTCAGTTGCATTCTTCCCACATCTTGACTCTAGCTGCTATTCAGATTCCAAACCTTGAGTTTCTCCTTGACATCTCCTTCTCAAGCCACAGCAAATCTTGCTCAGCATTAACTTCAACACATACCCAGAATCCTGGGCGGAAGAGAGGGCTTAGTGCCTAAGGGTGCTTCCTCCTCTACAGAGGAACCAAACTCAGTTCCCAAGACCCACACTAGGAGCTCCAGGCAATGCCCTCTTCTGGTTTCTGTGGTCAGCCACATGTATATGCACACACACACAAAAGTGTACTTAAAAAGAAATTCTTTTTAAAAACTGTACTTGTCTATCTACATCTCTAGACCCTGACTTCCCCCTCAATAGCGACAACTATGCTCTAAGCCGGGAACAGCAGTGTTGTCTCTACCGCCCTGCTGCAGTCTCAGTACAGCACCTAGAGTAGCCCTGTTACAATTGACATCAATTGGGCTGAGTGTTGTGGATCATGCCTTTAGTCTCAGCACCTCAAAAATAAATAAGTAAGTAAATAAATAAATAGAAATAAAAAAGCAAGGGGGAAGCTGGAGATGGCGTGGCACATCTGCTGCTCTTGCTTAGGTGGTTCACAAACGCTGCAACGCTAGCTCCAGAGGGTCCAGTATCTTTGACCTCTGTGTGCAGATCTTGCTAGCCCTCAAACTCACAGAGATCTGTTGTTAAAGGTTTGTGTCACATATCTGTTCCACATTATAATTTAAAAAAAAAAAAAAAACAAAAAAAAAACTAAACTAAATTATTTCCTATCACAATCCAACCAAATGCTAATCCTTACCCTGGCCTGAAAAGCCCTCCAAAATCTCCCATATCACTGAAAGTCAATGCCAAATACCACTAATTCCTGCCTGCTCTCAGCTGGCCATGCTCCCATCCTTTTGGTGATGAACTGCTTCAAACCTTTGTGCTTGTCTTTCCTTCTTCCCAGAATGTTCTTATCCCAGATTGTTCCAGAGCTCATTTCCTTATATTGCTCAGGTTTCTGCTCAGATAGCACTTCTCACAACAGAAAACTAGGACCTCACCATTGTCACCACCACCACCATTTCTTTCTTTACTTTTCTCAAAAGCTATTATCAACTTTGCAACATTATTAGCATGATTTTGATACTTACTGGCTTCTATGTTAAGAAGTACAATTTTTAGTCAATTGCTCACACTGCTGTATCTCTACAATTTACCGTACAATAGCACTTTTTTTTTTTTTTGAGATGGTCTCACTATGAAAACCAAGCTGGCCTCAAACTCAGAGATCTGCCTGCCTTTGCCTCCCAATCAGTGTAGTGTGTGCCATCATTTCAAACTCAACAGCAACTTTTAGTGTGACTACTTTCTTCTACCCAGTTGGCAGTGACTCATCTTCTATTCTAAGTAAATACTGTATGTAAAAAAACAGAAGGTTGCTGTTAATAATGAATAAAGTAGAAAGTTATCTGCATAAAGCAAGATGGACTAATAGTAGAAATATATTCAATTGATAAAAATCACAACCGAAAATGGTGTTGACAAAAACCTGATGAGGATGGGAGCTAAGATAATGTTCAAAGGAGAGAGATGATCTGTAGCAATATTAAAACATTAACCAGACCCCTCCCCATGAGCCAGAATATCTTGATAAGGGTGGAGATTCTTCAATTGGATGAAGTTAATGGGCTAAATCCTCTAAAAGCTTAATTGATGCTTTGAAAAATAAATGATGAAGATAAACGTTACTACATAGACCTTTGCCTGGGCCACTGATCCCCCAGCCCCATCTGTCATAACCCATAACTACAGGAAAAAAAAAAAAATCAAGAAGCTTAAAAAGTAATGGGTAGATAGCCAAGAGACACAGGTTCGGTCTCAGGGGCTATGGGCATGACTGTACTAGAAAGGTCTCTTTTACAAAGTTTTGAATTTTTTTTTTTTTTAAGCATCATTTTTGTTTGTTTGGATACAGAGTCTCACTGTGTATCCCTGGCTGGTTTGGAACTCATGATCTGTCCATCTCGGCCTAAAGTGCTGGGTTTAAAGGCTGTGCCAACACGCCCAGTTTCCTTGTAAATAGAAACCTCTTAAACCTACGATCTCTATCGAAGGAGTTAGGGCTCAACCACATTACATAGATTTTATTCCAATTAAATTTGGTAAATTACCAAAAAAAAAAAAAAAAAAGCATTCTGGAGTTGGGTGCCCAGTGTGTTCATCAAACTAAGAAATTAACATGCAAAATATCCAAAAAGGCCTTTTTAAAAGTGGGGGGGGGGACCCCTAACCCCAGTCAGGCATACGAATTTTTAAGTTCAACTCAAAGTAAACAAGCAAACAACTGCGTTAATCATAGTTAATGCATGCAATGGAACGGAACTGCAGAGTTCTCCAAAGTGAGGCGGGGATGGCAGTCTAGGTTTTCTGGCGGCTCTACTCCAGCGAGCCAATTGCACCAACAGTTCCCGAGCTCCGGAGAGGTGGGCCGGGCCGCGCCCGGCCCGGAGAAGCGCGCGGGGACCGAGCTGGGCAGGGCCAGGCGCCTGCCCGCAGGACCAGGCGACAGCAGGGCTGTCTGGGCCGGTAAGCAGCGCCGGGCGGACAGCAGTGGCCGCGCCGGACACGACCCCGCTTTTGTTTACGGACACGAAGGCGGGAAGGGCCGCTCCGCAGAGCAAAGCGGACTCAGCGCTGCCCGCGGGGCCGCCCAGCAGGGCGCGGGCTCACCTTGGACATCATCTTCTTCAGCTGGCTCTCGGACACCGCCATGGCGCGCGCCTCCGTCCCCACAGGCAGAGGGTCAGCGCCACGGGGCCGCCCCAGGCCGCCAGACAATCGCCGCCGCCGCCCCGCCCCTGCCAAGCAGGAAGCCGGCGCTCAGCGCTTCCGCTTCCCGTGCGTCACTTCCGGAGACGCTGCCCGGTTCCCGCAAGCCGGGAGCCTTTCCCGGCCGCTGAGACTCTCGGCCGCCGGCGGCCCCTGCCAGGCACTGCGCGCACAGGGTCCTGGGGCCGCGCCGCTCGCGTGACCAGCTCCTGGACAGCCTGGCCTCAGGAGTTGCTTTAGGTGACGCCGGCCGAGGCCCCTCTGTTTATCACCTGCATTTGTCTTTTGTTACTGTCAGTTTAAACGTTTGAAGCCCTTTATGCTAAGTTCGCAAGGGTAAAGATAAAGACAGGCTGCACTCAGCCTTGAAGGTCCTTGATGTCAGCCTTATTTTCAGACTAAAAAGAATTTTCTCCTTCAGACTTCGGAGCCGTCTCTCCAGTGTCAATCCCAAAAATGCAAGGAGAAAGATTGAGCCTAATTATGATCACGGTCAAATTAAAACAAGCTCTTCTATTTGTGTACAGGAGGTCAGCACTGGGCATAGGCAAGAAAATGGTTTTTATTGCTCGGGTGGGAAGGGGTTTCCAAATGGGGGTTTGGCAGTCAAATAGGCTTACAGAATTAGGACAAAGTGGTCATGGTTGCAAGGTGGCCTTAAGGTAGTCATGACAAAGTGCACATAAGGTGGTTATGACAAGGTCATAATAACCTTTTGAAACAAAGGCATGGTTACAGTTGGGAACAAGCAAATGAAATGTATTCTAAGCGCTACCGTTGGTACAACGTTCTGTGGAATGAACAATTTACCCTTGTTCATTCAAATGCTGATCTCTCTACTCCACTATCCGGTTTCAATCCGGACATTTCGTTGTGATGTGTATTCTAAGCATCACCTGTCTCAAGTTTGTGTAAACATGCAGCTATTTGTTCTCTGTATTTTCAATAAAACCACCACCCAGTGCTGTGCAGTGGAGAGAATAGGGTGGGATGTCCTGATCCGGAGGGGAGGAGAAGGAAGCAAGTGGAAGGAGAGTCAGGGAGCAGAGATTCATTCCCGAGGAGAGGACTTGGAAACAACGAAGAGAAATGAGCCAGACCTAAGATATGACTAAAAACAAGTATAATGTTGGAAATTCTAAATGGGAGGAAGCTATGCAGGCTTGGAGGTTTAGGATGGAGTAATTGTTGCCCAGCACTGTGCTCTAGATTAATTAAATAAATTCTAGTCTCTGTGTGGTGAATTGGGTATACAGCTGGTTTAGGAATAACTGCTGTTTAACTAAAAGATAAATTAATAGTAAATACTAATAACCAACAACATACTACCATTTCGTTTTCAGACTCCATCAAAGGGAGAAACTAAGTTTAAGGTCCCAGGCCCTAGGGGACCTGGGGACTTCCCAATAGCCAACAGTTTCTGTTGTAAGTAAACAGTTGTCTGAGTCCAGACCTCTCAGGGACTTGTAAGGAAACAGTTGTCTTGAGAAAGAGCAACTTTCTCCGTCCTGCTGGCATCAAACTAAGTTTATGGTCCTAGGCCCAGGGATCAGCTTCCATTCTGAATGATAGAACCTCCCTTGGTCAGCCTCTTATGTCAAAATGATTGGACAAAGCTACAAACCCAGCCCACTTCTCCTTGCTGTATGGTTTCATCCTTTCAACATGCTGTACAAATATCCCTTCAAGGTTGTGGTTCAGCTCCGAGTCTATTCTGCAGCCCTGCACCATCAGTACCAGCTTGCTTCTAATAAATACTGTCATCTACATTGCCCTGGTGTTTGAGTCATGTTGGATTTAAGCGGACCCCACAACAGTTACCTTTTCCTGGAATAGGCAGTACAGAAACATTTGTATTTGAGGTTACAGGTGGGGCATAGCTCAATCAAACCCAGTTTGTCTTTACTATAAGATGGCTTTCAAGCTTAAAATGGAGGCAGGCTGGCTCATCACCAGACCTATTTTCAGATTTTAATTGTCCCGTAGAATACAAGCTGTGATACTTGATCTCTTCTATTTCCAATAAAAGCTTGCTCTAGGGATTGAAGAGATGGCTCAGCAGTTAACAGCATTTGTTGTTCTTACAGAGGGTTAAGGTTAGGTTCCCAGTCACAAGAAATCTCCGTGGGCACCAGGCATACAGGTGGTGCACATACATACTATGTGGGCAAGACACTCATAAAAATAATCTTTAAAAACATTAGTGACATAGTAACCATTAATTCTTATTATATGTAATAAGTACAGTCATCCAAAGTATAAAACCTAGTATAGACAGTAGTGAAAGGTGATACACCTGGATAACCTTAGTATACAGTGTGATGGTATCAAGTCCTTTCTAAGCAGAGCATGGACCAAAGGGGCCTAAGTGGAAGTGCATGGCATGAGTCAGTGTGCTCCACCCCAATAGGTAACATCAGCCTTGAATAAACTGTAGCTACAGTCAAACCCAAAGCTCACCCTATCCTGCCATTCCCACTTGTTTCCAGTTGTTCAAAAGCACTTGTACAAGCATGAGAACCAGAGTTCAAATCTCACAGGGCATTCCCACCCACGCCTGTGACATGGTTAACACCAGCTTCAAGAGGAGTAAAGAAGGACCTTGGGCTTGCTGGCTCCTGGCCTCACCAAGAGATGAGCCCCAGGCTCAGGAAGAGACCATGCTTCAGGAAATAGGGTAAGTGATGGAGGACACTGAATGTCTTCTCCCTGCAATGTCTTTACAAATACTCAAAAGCCTTCATTTTAAACTGTTCTTACAACCGCAGCTATCTTAGAAATTCCTTTAACCAGAGCATCTGTTTCCATGAATTGAAGGCGACTAAGTAATTCAATGCTTTACAAGCTTATTTTTTACTTATTTTATTAATTATTATCAGTCTTTTTTTGAGACAGGGTCCCTCTGTGTAGCCTTGGCTGTCCTGGACTCACTTTGTAGACCAGGTTGGCCTTGAACTCAGAGATCTACCTACCTCTGCCTCCCTGAGTGCTGGGATTGCAGGGGTGCACCACCACGCCCGGCTACAAGGCTTTTTTTCTTTTTTTAAAACCAGGTATATGACAATCTATAATCTAGGATTGAAGTCCTTGGGAGGCAGAGGCAAGAGAATCTAAAGATGAAGGCCAGCAATGAGTAGATAGCATTATATTGTTTGAAAAGTTTCTATCCAAATTATATATTTTTTAAATTTAGAAACCACTGACGAAGGCCATTTTCTTCATTTTACACTCGAGCACTTTAGTGAATGGATGTGGGTGCTTTGAAATGCCATGAAAAAAACCCTCTTTAATGTGAATGTATTTTCTTTCACTTAATCAGATATCACATGATCCTTTAAAAATCAAAGTTTATTTTATTATTTTTGATATTTAAGGAAGACCATGTAAACCGATAATGAAAAATATACCTTACAGTATTAAAAAGCATTTTAATCTAGGCCCCAATAAAATCATGAGGTACCGCATGATTTTGGAGCAATGAAAGTTTCCCTCACCTTGTCACATAGCAAGAAAAAGCAACATTTTACGTAACATAGTGCTTTTTTTTAAATGAGGAAATAAATCTCTTACTTTTTCACAAAAGCCTGCATTTCAGAACAGTCCAGATTTATAACTTGATGTAGGACTGAACTTACCATATGGTAGGTATTTCCTTAGGGAATGGACACTAATTTGGATTCTGTCCTTGTGCCTCCAATGAGAAATATGCAAACGCTGTATATTTTCCATTGGTTTAGAGACTGACACAATATATAGGTGAATCAAGTCAGCATCACCCAAACATTAAAAGATTCAGAGAAAATGAAAGTTACCACACAGAAGCCCTGTGACTGTTAAATCAGCAAATCAAAATGAGGTGCTGGCAATTGACACCGCCTGACTTACACGGAACTTACAACTGCTGCCTAACTCAAGGAAGTGCGTGATACAGAAAATGACTTCTCTACCAGGACCTTTTGAGGGTGAGGTCAAACTTGCACAAAATAGTTGGGAGAACACTGAGTGTTCAATAAATGTCTGTTGTATTGACATTTCTTTCTGTATCTGACACAGTTCTTGGCAGCTCATTGTTCTAACATTCTGCAGTTGGCTCACTGTTGAAGAGTGTTAGAATTAGACCCCAGAAACCAGGTTGGGGATGAACCGCAGTGGTGGAGGTCTTGCCCAGCTTGTATCAGATCTTGGACTAGATCCCCACAAACCGGACAAACAAAAACTATTGCTGGGCATGAAAGCCAGCACTCTCGAGGCTTAGGCAAGATCATAGCCGAGAGGCCAGCACTCACAAGGCTTAGGCAAGATGATGGTGTAAGATTAGTCTCAAAAACAAATGAAGAGAAAAAAGGTTCTATCTTAGGAATTACTGAATCCCTAATTAGTCATCACCTATTATAAAATACTAGTTTAAAACACATAAGAAATGTTGTTTCAACTTTCCTGTTTCATACGAAAGACGAGTAAAAACAACAAAAAAACTGTCTACAAATGCTTATCTCAAGTACCCCAAGTTTTTGTGGTTCTGAGACCAAACTCAGTGCTCTGTACACATCAGGAAATCATCTCGCCACTGGGCTACATCCCTAGCCTGAATGTCCAAGGTTTTATGCAGTTAAATCTGGTGGGATTCTTTCTCAGACATCATTTTCTAGCTTCTCCAGCAGAGGTTCTGCGGCTGTTACCATCACCGAGTGTCACACTGAGAATGAGATTATTTCCTTTGTACCTCACAAACCACTACGCTCCTCTCTGGCTACACTGGAGTCCTTGTCACGGGCTTTCCCCCCCTCTGACTCCGAACTTCACAGGACTTAGCACACTTGCACTTATATGACATTTGGTCACTGTGTTCCGTGCTAATCCTTACGCACCAGCAGGGCTTGCTCTAATCTGTTGGTGTTCACCAGCAGTGCTTCATCTGTGAGAACTTTCTCATAAACACCAGCTGAAGGACTAAGTGAACACTGTCTCCAGCCCATACTACCTCTGCTTTGCTGAATTTCTGGGGGTCAAGCTAATCAGTCTTTGTAAGAAATATTTTTAAAAATATAGGCAGGCGTGGTGGCCCATACCTTAATCCCACTGGGAGACAGAGGGAGAGGCAGGAGGACCTCTGTGAATTCGAGGCTAACCTGGTCTACAATAGTGAGCCCCAAGACAGCCAGGACTACATAAAGACCCTGTCTCAAAAGAAAAGAATAAAATAAAAAAGAAAGAAAGAAAGAAAGAAAGAAAGAAAGAAAGAAAGAAAGAAAGAAAGAAAAGGTCCTATGTGAAAATGAAAGGAATTCTTTCATAGTACCCCAAACCTCAACTTTAGTGTCTGTGACAACTTGGCTTTTAAGCCTCTAGGCCTCCCTAGAGCCCCTGCTGCTACCTATAAAAAGTAAAGGTTGCACAGGTCAGTAATGCTCCATGGAACCCATGTGTTCTTAGACACTAACGTTCAGCTTCCTCCTCTGTAATGAAAATAAACAGCCCCTACCTCAGCCACTTAACGTGAGGATTCTACAGATAAGGAGCTCCCGTGTAAGAGTTGTGTTAGCCATCGCTGTCTTCTGCATGTCACAACAGTCACCGTGCAGTCTCCCACGTGGAAGTGCTGCTGCTGACCGATCTCCCGGGCACAGTTGGAACTGTTTCTCCAGGGGTGAATGACTTTCTCTGAAGCAGCACTCCAGCCGGCTGGCCTCTCTCCCTAAGACCATGGCTCTTAGGAAAGCCTCACGATTTGGTCTCAAAATATACTGCTTGGATGTTATTCATTACTTATGGCCACAGAAAAACACATCTCTCTTTTTCTACTGATACACTTTTAAGATATGTTGGAGATCTTCTAGCCCAGGAAGGGGTTCTAGAAATTTTCAGAAAGGAAATCTCACTGGAAATTAAATCACATATTATTTTTCATGTATTAAACAGGAAATCTTACTAGAAATTAAATCACATTATTTTTCCTGTATTAAACATTCCATTAGATCAATTTAAAATGCACACTAAAGTCCTTTCTGGTGTTTGTTATCTGATGAACTGGCCATTATCATCAACTGGGTCTCGCAAAAGCAGCATTAATCTGTAAGCCAAGCATCTCGGAACGAACACCTACCACAGATTTTGTGCCCATCCTGCCTAAGCTTACCATGCTTAGAATAAATGTCCAACAGGAATCTTTAAGGATTGCATTTCTCTTAGAACATCTCCAAAGTGCTAGATGTGCCTTAAGTTTAGGACATTCAATTTAAAATGACATACAATGCAAATGAATGTTTATCCCTGCTGTACATTTAAACAGCAGTATAGGTATGTCAAAAAAAATCAAATACTTTCCCATCCTCTTCTCAAGGATTAAATTAGGAAGCTAACTAAGAAACCATCTACCACAAAGGCTGTTTTTAAGGATAAATAGTAAGTTGTGGAAGTTCTCAAAACAATGTGTGTTGGCGAAAGTAAATGAGCTCCGCCCTTCGGGTGAGCGCGCTTGAGAATTAGAGTTTCAGCTGCTGCTGGAGACTGTGGATTGAGGATGCACTGGTTTGGAGTGTCTCCATCATCGTGTCTTCTGCTGTGGCTTTAATGACTTCAGATACTCCACCGGTTCCCAGGATGCAAGGCAAACTTAAAAATACTTCATTATCTAGACCATAATATCCCTGAAATGAAAAAGATGAGATTATAGTAAAGCTGAATTACCATAAAAAAATTAAAATGATACGGCTGGAGGGATGGCTCAGCAGTTAAAAGTATGTTGTCCTCATCCAGAGGACCTGAGTCATTGCGGGTACCCATGCCAGGCAGCTCATAACCATCTGTAGCTTCAGCTTCAGGGGATCCTACACTTTTCAGCCTCCGTGGCACCTGCACTCACACACAACCCTTGTCATATACATAATTAAAAATAATAAAAGAAAATTTAAAAGATGATAAAAAGAATTCTTTCTTGCTTTTGTAGTTCTAGTACAAAGTGATACAAGTTAAACTTAATTTGTTGGCTAATTTTCTAAACTTGGGTTAGAGCTCTAGAAAATGTCTGAGATGGAAGGAGTCAGGTCAAAGATAAAGATTGCCTTCTTTGCAGGGAGGTAAACTAGCTGTCTGTGACATGGTCAGCAGGCTGGAGGATAATCCAGAGATGGACAGCCCTTGGGAGAAGATGGCATGGACTCTGGGGACAGCCAACACAACAAGTCATTTCACATTTTCTTTCCATGTTGTATTTCCCTCCTGGTGTTCAAGAACATCTGACCCAGGATTTATACCTCATTTTAGCTGTGTTTTGGGGGTAGTTCATGTTCTGGTAAAAGCAGAAAACTGCTGGAGTGACTTGCTAGCTTAGGTGATAGAAGACAGCCAGGAAAAGCACACAGATTACATGAACACCTTTGCCAATCCCCCAAGTTATACGGAAGTGGAAGGACAGGCTGACCATGCATACTTCCCAGAAGCAACTCAGCATACACACTCCCTCGGCTCACACCACAGCCGCTGCGCTGACACAGCAGTCCTGCTGCCTTTATATGATTAATAGCAAAGCTATCAAAGTCTAAAATACATGAATGAAAGTAGTTACCTTTGCTAAAGTTGATACAGAATGCACTTTCTTTTTGTTGTTTATAATGGTGTCTACCAGGTCAGCCACCGACAGTCCAACAGACCAAGATCTCTGACCTTTTACCCTCAACAGTTCCACAGCTCTAGATTACAAGAGAGAGAGAGTTCAGAAAATTTAAGAAGGCTTGCAGATAACATAATTATTACTTCAGCCTTTCCTAAAATGTGAGATGCAGAGTTCACAGAGAAAATGCAGAAACCTTTACAGCATAAAAGATACTCACCACCGTGATTACTTAACTAAATATTAGTTAAACTGTATCAATTGGGTGTGGTGGCATATGCCCTTAATCCTAGCACTTGAGGAGGCAAAGGAAGATGAGTCCAGGCTAGCTAACTGTCTCACAATAGCAAAAACAACTGACAAAAAGCCAAACTAAACACCGGTTTAGCCCACCAGTGCTAACAAGGATAAAAGGACTGATTAACTAGTTCTGGAGGCTGTATGAAGAAGCATCGGTGTAAGGCAGGGATCTAGAAACCCCTTCCTCACACTTTGTCCTACGGCAGCAAGCTCAAGTGTGCAAAGGTATACATATGAGCATGCTGGCTGTATTTGAAAAAAAACTCATCAAACAGGGAACTGGTTAAATAAATCCCTGTCAAATACCACACGACATGGCTCCTAGGAAAATAAGGTTGGGGCTGAAGTGATAGCTCAGAGGCTGAAAGCACATGCTGATTTTCTAGAAAACTGAGTTCAGTTGCCAGCATCCATGTCAGAAGGCTCCCGACTGTCACTAACTCCACTCTAGGGGAGCTGATACTCTCTTCACCCACGTGCATGCACGCTTCCCAAATAAAAAATAAATCACAGAAGAAAAAGGGAGGAGCCCACACCACCTGTTATTTCACCATCACCAATAGTTTTCCTCCACCTAGAGTGATCGTGGCGTGTGGGCTTTTAACTCTTTGGCTCACGAGTTTCAGAACATGTAGCACTTAGAAAGAGTGTGTGAGGGGTGTAATCTATTATGTAATACTCATGAACAGGGTCCTCCACTTTGTTTGGTTTGGATGGTGCTGAGGATTAAACTCAGAGCCAGGAATGAGCTAAATGCCTAAGCTTCACGTCCTACAGCAAAGAAGCTGGTGCTGACAGGGCAGTCCTGCTGCTTGATAGGATGAGAGTCTAAGACAGGAATGAAATAAGGCCATCTTTGCTGACGTTGCTTCAGGACACACTTTGACCAGGAGAGTGAGCTCAGCAGTGAAGGGCACAGAAGACTCAGGTTTGGTTCCCAGCATCCATATGGTGGCTCACAAAAACTCGTAATTCCAGTTCCAGGGTATCTGACATTCTTGCCTAGCCTACACACATGTCAGACACACACGTAATGCATATACCTACATGCAAGAAAAGTCTCATACATACAAAATAAAAATAAATCCTAAAAAGGAAGGAAGCCTTCCATGTACAATACAGAAAGATACTCAGTTGTATGATTAACCAAGGTGCAGGGTGGTACAGACAGTATAACTCTTGTAAATGATCAGTGCACATGCCTGTGGGGCCTGTGGATGGAAAACTGGCTGCTTCCAGACGATGGGATTATCTCAGTTTTTACTCTATAAACAGCTGTGGTATTTAAAATTTATAATAGGCACATTTGGGCTGGAGAGATGGCTCAGCGGTTAAGAGCACTGGCTGCTCTTCCAGAGGTCCTGAGTTCAATCCCCAGCTCCCACATGGTGGCTCCCAACCATCTAGTGAGATCTGGTGCCCTCTTCTGCCATGTAGGAATATGCAAAGAGAGTGCTCATATGTATAAATAAGTAAATACTAAAAAAATAGGCACCTTTTTTTGGGGGAAAAAAAAGTAAAGGCAGGCCTGGTGGCACACGCATGTGATCCCAGCACTCGGGAGGCAGAGGGAGGTGGACTGCAGTGAGTTCAAGGCCAGCCAGGTCTACAAAGCGAGTCCAGGGCAGCCATGGCCACACAGAGAAACCCTGTCTTGAAAAAACAAAATGAAAAAGGTATGTAAGTGTAAACCGTTTACATTGATTCCATTTAATAACTCCAGGGAACATAACTCAGTGTGAGGACACGTGCTTAGCACATCCACAACTCTGATCTTCATCGCCAGCACCATCAACACAGCAGCCATGAAACAAAATAGCAGAGAACATAATAAAACAGAACCTATAATGTAATAACACAATAGCATTCACTCAGATTCAATTCCCTCACACCCTGCTCTTCCCAGCTGTTAGATGCAGTTCAAACTCCTAAGGTGAAGATGGAAGCGTCTACACTTCTACCACTCCAGACTTAAGGAGAGCCTGACCGGTGACGGCAGAATAGCAAATGTCTGAAGACAATGTGTGTGCAAACCCAGTGCAGTGGCACACCCCAGAGGGCCTCCACATGCGGGGTCTGTGCACTGCACCCCTCTGACAAGATATGGAAAACTTGGGTCTTGGGCTGATTGCCAAACCTAGTCATGTGTGCTCAGTTGAGAGAGTGGAGATGAGTCGTCTCGTGCACTCTTGGAGTCCAGGACTGCAGAGCACTGCTCCTGGCACTTCCGTGCTGCCTGTAAGCCAGCCCTGTTCACACATGCCGGGAAGGACCTCTGTGTAAACAGCTGCTCTCTCAGCTAGGAAGCCCAGGAGTTTCAGCTGCACGTTCACAAATTTGCACTGTTACCTGCTGGACAGCTGGGCCTGAGAGCTATGACTCGTTACTCCATCTCGGCTGCTCCATGAGCATACTAAAATTAAACAAAGAATTAGTTATGTTTTGCCAGTGATTTTGTTAAGACTAAGATGTGACAAATGGCTGGGAGTGGTGGCTTAAGCGTCAATCACAGCCATCAGGAGGCAGTGGCAGAAAAACAGAGTTCCTTGAGTTGGAGGTCAGCCCGATCTACATAACAAGTTCCAGGACAGTTAGGGCTACACAGTGAGACAGGGTCCAATAAAAAAAAAAAAAAAAAAAAAAAAAAAAGCTGCCACCACCACCACCACCAACAAAACAAAACAAAAAGAAAAAAAAAGATGCAACAACTGGCCTTTTAAGGTCAAGGGACCTGGTCTTTTTATAGTTTTTCACTCTAGATCCTTTCCCATTGATGGTAGTTAGTTTTATGTGTGGAGACAAGAAAAACTTTAAACCTCAATCTCCTGAAAGTGTGCTCCAAGTCTACTTGTGGCTTCTTTACCTGCTCTCCATCACCAGCAACAGGTCTACATGGGCCACTTTCCACTCACGTGGAATAGCTGCTTCCTCAGGAGGCTGCAGCAGGTAACAGGCCTTCAAATGCTGGACTGGGACTGGAGAGATGGCTCCATGGTTAAGAGCACTGGCTGCTCTTCCAGAGAACCTGGATTCAGTTCCCAGGAACCACATGGAAGCTCACACCTGTCTGTAACTCCAGTTCCAGGGGATCTGACACCCTCACACGGACATATACAGAGACAAAACTATTTATTTCGACCCAGGGTATTTGTAAAATGTAAGTGAGATACCTGTATGAAAAGTACTTCATAAAAATAATTATTAAAAAATCAATTCTATCAGCTGGGTGCAACGCCTGTAATCCCAGCACTCAGGGAGGCAGAGCAAGTGAATCACTGTGAGTTGGAGGCTAGCCTGATCTACAGAGGAAGTTCAGGATAGCCAAGGCTACACAGAGAAACCATGTCTCGAAGAACAAAAACAAAAAAAGGAAGAAAAAAACATTCTATCACATTACTGTTGTCACTTGGGCAAACATTCTTACCAGCTGACGTCTAAGATGCAGCCAGCAGAGGGAGCCTCTTACTCATGTCTGCCTTCAGGGAAGGAACCCCAGCCCTGTGCACACCTGGCTGAGGAGTGGAGGACAGGACAAAGGTGCAAGCACAGGCTCCTGGTGTGGATCCCAGCATGGCAAGACAAGACGAAAAAGCCAGCTGTGTTTTCCTAGACAGGGAGCAGTGCGATGGCTGGGAAGAGTCTGTAGTGCCCCAATGCTCCTGTCTGAGTATGTGCTCGTGAGTGCTTGTCCCATTAGGTTTCAGATGCTCACACGGCTCTCTGTACACGCAGACACATATACGTCAAACATCCCAACCCTGGATCTCAATACCCCAGTCTGCGTTCTCCTAGATGCTCTGTGTTTCTCAGCTGAGACCTCGAGTCAGAAGTCCCATGCCTGCTCCCTATGTTTTCACTGCCTCTTGGCAGCAAGCTACACACCTCCGCCTGGTTCTGAGTTCCCAGTCCTGGCATGTTTTCACTTTACCATCAACTCAAAACCCATGCATTCTTCCAATGTCCAGCTCAATTATGGCTGTTACTATCACTTGAGGTACTACAGATACAGTAATCTTTATTTCCGAGTGAATTCAATCCATGTTGAATGCATGTGTAAATGTCTAAGTACTAGAATAATGCTAATCAAAGAGTATCCTATATCTTGTCAACTAAAATATCTGATATAATGTGTTATGGTGACTCCAACCATAAAATTATTTCATCGCTACCTCATAACTGTAATGTTGCTACTGTTCTGAGTCCTAATGTAAACCATCTGAAATTTAGGTTATCTGAAATGTACTCCAAAGGGGTCACGACCCTCAGGTTGAGAACCACTGCTTTAGAATGAATGTGGTATGCCCGTGTTCCACACCTTTCACACGACACACGCGTCTGGTACAGCAAAGAGTAAAGTGTAGATGCTTACATTCTTGTCACATGAATGCAAGTGGGCAAATGAGAGCAAGCTTCGGTCCTATCACTTGACCAGCCTGGCTTTACACAAAATACGGAAGCTGTAAAGGAAGGCATTCTCAAATACAGAAAGCTTTCTTGCGCAATAAGAAAAGGGTTTTGTTTGTTTCCATACAGAGAGCTGAAGCGATACTTTTGTGATAGGGAGGGAACAAGCAGCTGGTTAAAAAGGAAGCAGGCTGAAAACTCTTTGGCAGTGGTGATGGGGGAGGGAAGAAACAAGCAAGAGGCATACATTTAGGAGTGAGACTGAGCTTTGGAAGAGCAAAGAATGATGTGGAGAGCTAGGGGACTTCCAACTGCTCCAGGTGCATTTAAACGTTTAAATGAAAAATTAAAACTTTTCAATTAATTCTACACTCTAAAACTCAATCCAAAATTTAATTGTCTTACTTTAGGCTCAAGAAAAACCAAATATATGAGTATGACAGGAGTAGGAGTTTAGCTCAGTGTTAGTACATGCAACACACCGGAGGCCCTGGGGTCAATCACTACCGCATGCGCGTGCGCGCACACACACACACACACGTGCATGGGGTGAATGGCCCTCAGCAAGGCTCTGGAGGGCTTGCTCACAGGGCACTCAGTAAGCCCCACAATCCTCTCAGTTCACACAGTATGAAAGCAATGACATCACTAAACTGCTGCACTTACCTTTGTTTTCTCCCTGTTCACCAACAACCCACACTTCTTTGCCTGAAGTCTGCGCCTTCAAAACATTCATAATAATGTATTGTAATCTCCGAGAATCCAGATTGCATCCAGTCCCAATCACTCTATTTGCAGGAAATGTGCTCAGTTTCCATGTCACATAGCTCATGATTTCCACTAAAATGTTACACACAAAGTGAAAATTTTAAGGATTTAAAAAAAAAAAAGCCGCCTTTAACCCCAGCAGTCAGGAGGCAAAGGTAGGCAGCTCACTCTGAGTTCGAGGCCAGCCCGGTCTACTAAGTGAGTCCAGGACTGTCAAAGCTATACAGAAAAACTCTATCGTCCCCCGCTGCCTCTCACTCCCCCACCCTCAAAACGCACCTAGCCTCACCTAGCTCACACAGAGAGTATCACTTCACTAGAGAAGTATGTCAGCACTTCTACACCCTGTGGGGGTCTTAAATGCACTGAAGCTTTGTAGTCTCTGAGGCCGGATCTTGTATACAGTCTAGCTGGCCTTGAACCCCAATCTTCCTCCCTCTGCTTCTGAGTACTGGCATTATAAAAGTGTACCAACATGGCTGGTAGTATGTTTGTGAACTATATTGAGAACACTAGGGGTCTGGGATATGGCTCAGTGGGTAAGAGCAGTGGCTCATCTTCTAGAAAACAGGGGTTCGAATCCCAGAAACCACACGGAGGCTCACAACTGTCTGTAACTCCAGTTGTTGTGTCTTCTGAAAGAAAGGAAAGGAAGAGAGAGAGAAAGAGAGAGAGAGGAAGGAAGGAAGGAAGGAAGGAAGGAAGGAAGGAAGGAAGGAAGGAAGGAAGGAAGGAAAGAAGCACACACTAACCAGGTTAAAGCATTTTATATAACTTTCTTACAGAGCATAAATTGTTAAGGTAGAAAATTAATAAGTTCCCAGAACAGTTAAGCAAAAAAAGGTGAAAACTGAGTATAGAAAGCAGGAAAATAATTTCATTTCAGTGAAGCATTAATTCTTTGAGTGTGTGAACACGTGCAGGGTTCTGAACATTAATTCTTTGAGTGTGTGTACACGTGCAGGGCTTCATGTATGCTGGGCAAGCACTCTACCACTAACCCATATCCCCAGCCCAATAATTCCATTTCAGTGATAAGTTTCTTTTATGTTTTAGGCTTAAGTGAAAATGCCGATTCATATATTATTATGCAATACAGCACCTTGAAAAAAAAGCCTACAACTTCCTTCTCTCATACATGAAAAAGGATTTAAAGAGACCGCTATCTCTGCGAGTACAAACGAAACCCACAACTCTGGGACACCTTCAAACACATGCTCACTGTTGAGCCCAAACCACCTAAATATTTAAACTATAAATGTACAAAATACAAACAGTGACGACAGGTGAGGTGGCACAGTGGGTAAAGGCAGATGCCACCAAGCCCGACAGTCTGAGGCCAATGCACAGCCCATGTGGTGAAGGAGAGCTGACCTTCACACAGTGCGCGTGTGTGCACACATTCATACACACACAAAAAGAAAGCATAAGAAACTGTCGCTGAACACAAACGGTATGCTCCCTCACATCTTTATAACACCAGCCAGGTAAGATATCTTACGCGTAAACATCGCTGCATGACTCTCTTGGGGGTTTTAACCATTTTCTCACTAAAGGAGGTATGGCCAACAACTGGAAAATACCACATTTCATGAAAAGTTGTGAGTTGTAAACTGTGTAATAATAATTATAAAGAGTAACTGTTGCTAGCATATACATGCGTGCCCTGTTCTTGTAAGAGCAATCTTACTGAATACCCCTTTGTACACCACCAGTACTTTGGCTTTTTTTTTTCTTTTTAAAGTTAGCAATGGCAACTATACTGGTAATCTGGACCAACATTTGAATTTAAAATAAAGCTTTTTACCTGGCTGAGAGGCAACAAGAAAGACAGCATGTTGACTGTAATGTCCCAGAGCTGGAACAAGAGCTCTGAACATGTCCACATTGCTCTGTACTGCATGGAGGTAGGATTCAGAACCACCCAGAGAGTTGGCTGTGAAGATCACCACCTTGGAATGAGCAGAGGCAGACAAATCTAATGAACAGAAAGAAACAGTCTGAGTTCACAACAGTCTAAAGTAATGCCAGTACACAGTGAAAATGTTCCTCTATCCTGTGACCAGAGAATATAGGCATATTGTGTCACTCAGCGCACTGACGGGTGACGTCCTGTATCCCAGGGCCAGACATGCTGGTACACAGCTGTGCTCCAGCACTTGAGAAGTAGAAGCAGAGCGGCTCCAAGTCGGAGGCCGGCCTGGGACACGCAAAGACTAACTTTTCCATGTGTTTCACGGTTTTCAAAGTGGTAATAGGTAATATGATGTAGACAAAGTGAACTGACAACCACTGGCTTCTGTCCTGCGAGCTTGGGAGCCACAGGATTCCTTGAAAGCAAGTGTGATAGAACGAGGAGGGAGGGAGGAGGACTGAGCACAGAAGTGAAGTGACTTGGTAAGCCAGCAGCAGGGCTGGGATTCAGGCCCAAGCAGTGTGGCTTCAGACTCTATACTATGAACCCACCTTGGAAAAATGAAAACTGGGACCTGGAGAAGTGGGGAAGCATGCACAGAGCATCCAAACCAGTGAGCAGTTTAATTTACACACTTCCCCTTGGCGTCTGCCTGCTCTCTTTTCCTCCTCTGCCTTTCTCTGCCTTGAAGGACAAAAACGTCTCCATCCTCACAGGGAACTGAGCCCCTGCTTGGTGGTAAGGAACATGCTCTGCACATTTCTTCCAAACGTTTTGCTCTTTCAATTATTCAGTTATTTCACCAGTTGCCAATGGCTAATGAAACAATAAGACAAAAAAAAAAAAAAAAAGATTTCCTAAATGAACTCACTTTCTCTAAGGCTGCACACTAAAGAGTTTCTCCTACAGAGATCTGGAGATAAGCGGTCCCTTAAGGACTTCAGGACTGGGAACGACAGGCCAAAGAAAACATCCAGCTCTCCCAGGAACCTCTACCCAGCCATTAAAGGACCATTAAACCACTACAGTGTGCTCTCAGATGAGGAAAATGAGCTAATTGTCTCCTTGGGGATCTAAATGCTAACCGCACTGTAACTTACTGCTTTTAGAACAGACAGGAAAGTGAACTCTCCTGACCAACATCAGTGCATTCCAGCTTGGGAGACTGCTTTAAACATTATTTGGAAAACAGTCAGGAATATAGGAGAACCAAGGAAAGAGCATCCAAGGCCACACCACTGTGGCATGTATAAGCTGGTCTTATCTAGAGACTGGTAAAAATGTTCTAGGAAATGCATTTTGTTCAATGATCTGTTCTTATTATTTTGATTTTTTTTAAGATTTATTTATTTTACATACATGTAAAATATGAGTGCTATAGCCGCATATATCTGCATGCCAGAAGAGGGCATCAGGTCCCAGTATAGATGGTTGTGAGCCGCCATGTGGTTGCTGGGAATTAAACTCAGGACCTTTGGAAGAGCAGACAGTGCTCTTAACCACTGAGCCATCTCTCCAGTCCCTATTATTTTGATTTTTAAAGTTTATTTTTAAGCTGGCTATGGTGGCACACGCCTTTAATCCCAGCAGTCGGGAGGCAGAGGCAGATGGATCTCTGTGAGTTGAAGACCAGCCTGGTCTACAGAGCTAGTTCTAGGACAGCCAGGGCTACACAGAGAACCCTGTTTTTGTCTCAAAAAACAGACAAACCAAACCAAATGAATAAGCACACACACATGTATGTGTGGTTATAATTTTATATATCTGGGCACCTGTGCAGGCCAGAAAATGTTGTTGGAACCCCCTGGAGCTAGAGTTACAGGCAGTTGTGAACTGCATAATGGGGGTGCTGGAAACCAAACTTGGGTCCTCTGGAAGAGCATGCTCTTATCCACTCAGCCATCTCTCCAAGCTTGGTTGATTTGTTTTTTAAAATCATGTATTCCTGGTAAAATAGATTTGTTTGTTTTTTTTTTTGTTTTTTTTTTTTGGTAAAATAGTTTTAAACCTGCATCCTCAAATATAGTCTTTATCTGGATAAATATATCTGTACTAATAGGATGTCACATGCAGTGTGAAAAGATACTTTAAAAAGGCTTCAGAGGCGGTACCTACTGTCACCACTACTTGGGAGAGCAGTGGGCTAACAGGGGCTGCCTGAGCCAAAGAGCTCAAGGGTAGACTGGAAACAGCAGTAGGAGGCTCACACACACAAAAGGGATGAACAGCAAAAATAACTCTTTCTTTTTCTTTTTGTTGAAGCTGAATTCAGGGCCTCATACATGACAGGTAAGTGCTCTATCACTGTGCTATGCCCCCAACTGCCTAAAACAACTTTTCAAATCCTATTTATTGCATAGTAGCCCTTTTTGTTCTCATGAAAACTCATGCTAGCAGGCTTCAGTACAATCAAAGTAAACCGAGTGTATTGTTAGTCTTGGCTTCACACTCTTGTGCATCATGGGGCAGACAGTGCTTTTCCAGTTACAGCTGAGAACCAGATCTTTCAATGCTGATGGATTATTTAACCTGCAAATGTCAGTATATAGTGTATAGGGGCTGTGTGAGATGCAAACCCAGTCTGCCTAACTCTAAGCCAGCGCTCCCGAGAAAGGAAGCAACCAGAGAATGTAAATGGGGATGTAAATCACGGAAAAAGAACACCTTTGACCAACGGGAGTGAGTATAAATGCTATTTGCTCATTTGACTCCGGCTAACATAATTAGTTGTAATTGGCTTACTGTTTGGATAGATCAACTGATTTATTTCAGTCTTTGTTTCACAACTTGTAAAACAAGACTCTTCATGATACTTTTCAGCCTTACAATCCTAGGACCTGGGCTGGAGAGACTGCTCAGGGGATCAAGGCTCCTGCCACTCAACTTGCCAACCTGAGTTGGATCCCCAGGACCATGTGGTGTGAGGAGAGAACCAACTCTCAAAGGTGCACACATGGTAAGGCACACGTGTCCTCACCTCCAACCAAAGGAAGTGAAAACATAATTTCAAAAATTCTAGGACTTAATTCCCATTTCCACAAACAAACAAACAAACAAACAAACAAACAAACGGGGTAAGATTCAAGTATTACAGTAAGTAATAACCATCTTTAAATAGAATAATCAAACCTTTGCTGATCTCTACGTTAGGGAGGTTGAAGATGTCAAGGTCCATGGTCCCTTGGTTAGTCCCATCTGAGAGGTCTAAAAGGAGCAGCTTGTCTGCAATGCCCTGTGTGGAAAAATTAGAAGAACAGTGTTCCACCAACATAGCTAGCTACTCAATATGAGGTCACTGAGAAAGGCTAACTAGGGCCTCCTGACCTACTTCCGCATGAAAGTAACACAAAGCAATAAAGGAGAAGCAGGAGTAAGATGCTATCACGTGAGTGATGCTACCTGTTAGGCTTGACTGCTGAATAGCAGACCTACCATGGTTTACTCGGTGTCTTCTGATGGAGTAAGTAACAAAGTAACAAAGGGGCCACCTACTTGGTAGGTGTGCTACTGTTCCTCTTGAGTTTAAGTTTTGATTTTAATGCCACAGTATCAGTTGTTGTCTGTCCATCCTTCCTTTCTAACATTTTTTTCTGAGACAGGGTTTCTCTGTGTAGCCATGGCTGCCCTAGAACTCCCTTTGTAGACCTGACTGTCCTTGAACTCAAGAGATCCGCCTGCCTCTGTCTCCCAGGCTCTGGGATTACAGGCCTGCGCCACCACAGCCCGCTTAGTATCTGTTCTTAAACAGTCTAGAATGATTTGGGAGTCTATTTTAGCACATCACGGCAGGCTTCTTCAAGACAAACAAAAAAACATTTTTCATATAGAATAGATAAACATGAGTGAACACGTGTGTGCAAGTTTGCAGGTACCACAAATCTCAGGTCAAGCCCTGCTATCATGTGGTTGCAGAAAAATACTCCCAATCTGTGAATGGCTCCCAGGCAGCACGGTGAGCAGACTGTAAGTAACAAGTAAACTCCAAGAGTCTGCAGGAGGTACAAGGAGCCCTAAAGTCTTGAGACCCCAAGGGACCTACTACCACCAGAAGAAAACAACTCCATTTATTCTACTGGCTACAAAACAGCCAAGTCACTGAACTCAGCCCCATACAACTGTTTGTGGGATTAAAGTATGAGACACAGGCCAGCCACAGTAGTCCTTTCTAAACCATAGCTATTAATCTTATTATTGTGAACCACACTAGGAAAATATGTCTACAGAAGTGTGAGCATAAATTAGTACAACTGACATAGCAGGCAACTTGATTCTTGTTCTTTTTTTCCTCCTTTAACTGAGACAGGGTTTCTCTGTATATTCCTAGTTGTCCTGTAACTATCTATGTAGACCAGGCTGGCCTTGAACTAAAAGATCCCCCTGCCTCTGCCCCCTTTGCCCAGCATAATTTGACAATTTTTATCAAAAATTTAAAATATTTTAGAAATTCAAAAATAGATTATTTAATCCATTAATCTCATATCCTACAAATGTGCTGGAACATGTGAAAAATGACACAGTATGCATGGATACTCAAGATGAGACCCAAGTATTTACCGTGAATAAGTTAAAAAGGAATACAGTGACCCAGGGCTTTAAAAGAGGTCGAGCTGCACTGACTGCCAGAGCCACCCAGGAGGCTCTGGTCAATGGGCTGCAGCAAATTGAAGGCTAAGCCTAGGTCATGCGTGGCTGTCTTAGGAGATGCCAGTGTTATGGCTCTGAAAGCCAGGCGTGGCTGAAAATGCCCGCAATCCCAGCACTCCAGAGGCCAAGGAGGAGATTTTGAGGGCAGGTCGGGCTGCACAACAAATCCCTGTCTCTTTCATTGAGTGGTAAGGATCTAGACTCTAGGTTCCCATCCCCAGAGACCCACGTAAATGACAGATGGGCATGGCAGCCCGCTTGTAATTGCAGTCTCAGAGGGCAGACACGGGGGATCCCAGAAGAAACTGGATGGAGACCAGCCATCTTGTCCAGCTCTGTGTTTGACTGGCAGATCCTGTCTCAATGAATGAAGTGGAAGAGCAAGCCAGGGTAATTCCTGACTTCAATCTCAGGTTTCCACATGTACAAGCATACTTCTACACACATAAACATGACGTGTGCTCACACATGCCAAAAATGCTTACACATATGAAAAATGGAAAAAGAAATCAAAAGTTTAATGAAAGTACAGATAAACTTATAGCCACTGAGTCACATACCTTTGCTGAAATTGCCAATGTACAGGCAATACCCAAATCTCCACTTCCAACCACAGTAATTTTATTGGGTATTTTATTATCATGATTTGTCCAGCCCCTTGAATTTATGTCTGAGACACCTAGAATAAAAAAAGATTGTCCTGAGAATTAAAAATTATTAAACTCTCTTTTCTAAAATTTCATGAGCTTGGTGAAGTAGCACACATCTATAAGCCCAACGCTCAAGAAGTGGAGGCAGAAGGATTACAAATTCACAACTAGCCTGGACCTGTGTGACCTCTCTCCCATCCCCTCCCCGAAAAACCATTCTAGCATCTTCTTAAAAATAAAACAAACTTCAGAAACTCTGATAGAGATTCTATAGATTTTTTTGTTTTACAAGACAGGGTTTCCTGTGTAGCCATGCTGTCCTGGATCGTGCTCTGTAGACCAGGCTGGCCTCAAACTTACAGAGATCCCCCTGCAACCCAAGTGCTGGGATTAAAGGCATGCACCACCACTGCCAGGCAAGATTCTGTAGGTTTTGTTGATATAATGTTCTTTTAAAATGTATACACCTTACCCTTGTTAATTCAAATGCTGATTTCCCCACCCCAAACTCTCTGGTTTCAATTCGGATATTGCATTGTGATACTCATTATAAGCATCCTGTCTCAACTCTGTGTAAACAGGACAAAATAAAGCAACTAGAGGAGGAGCCAGAGGACAGGAAAGAGGGGAGGAGCTAGAGAGCAGGAGATGAGTGGGAGGAGAAGGGGTGAGGAGAAGAGCTGGGAGCAGAGCTGGAGGAGAGATCTTGGAGGAGCATGAACCACACCTAAGATTTCACAAAAAGCAAGTATAATGTGGGAAATCTAAATGTTAGGAAACTGAGGGCTTGGAGGTTTAGGAGGGAGTAAATATTGGCCAGCCTTGTGTTCTAGGTTAACTAAAAACCCAGTCTCTGTGTGGTGATTTGGCTATACAGCTGCTGAGGATTAACAGCAGCGTTACTAGAAGATAAACAAATAGTAAATACTAGTAACTTCATACAACAAGGTTTTTTTCTTGGTTTTGTTTTTTGGAGACAGGGTCCCTCTGTGCAGCCTTGGCTGTTACTGGGATTTGCTCCGTAGACCAGGCTGTGGATCTGTCTGCCTATCTCCAGAGCGCTGGGAGAAAGGTGTGCACCACCACTAACCAGTGAGTCTATAGATTAAAAACAACAAACTTGCTGGACTAATGAAGGCAAGGACAGGAGCCTGAAACCAATCATGGCTGCTCACTCCTATAATCCCAGCCTACAGAGACAGAGGCAGTGCCCGGGTTACATAGATACGCCTGGTCAGGGGGTGGGGAGTGTGCAGAAGCTGGGCGTTTCCCAGCAACTGGGAGCTAAAGGCAGAAAGGCCAGGAGTTGAAGGTGACCCTCAGCTACATAGTACTTGAGGCCAGCCGTGGCGGTTCACAACAATTATTCAGTTCCAGAGATTCGCTTCCCTCTTCTGGCCATTGCAGGCACCGGGCCCTGACACACATGCAGGCAAAGCACTGACACACGAACAATAAAACAGCAATTTTTTTAAAGGTATGTAAGGTAAGGATTTCTATTTTATCCTTATGATTTGTCCAGCCCCTTGAATTTATGTCTGAGACAACTATAAGAAAAGATTAACCTAAGGATTAAAAACTATTAAAAAATCTTCTCTAACATTTTATGAGCTTGGTGAGGTGGTATACATCTATAACCCCAGCACTCGAGAAGCCGGGTGTATGCAGAGGTAGCGACCCTTTCTTTAGTGGTATGGCTTGGTGTGGTGCTGTGCCTCTGTTACAAGTCATCACCCACGCCCCTATGAACAACCCTGACTCAGGGCAGTGGGCTGGGATGGGGGTGGGGTAGATAAAAGGTGAAGAGAAATAGCTAAGGAAGAGGGAAGAATTAATTAAGAGTGGGAGGGGCTTAGGGAAGGGCACCGTGTGAACAAGACAGAAATACACCATGTACAGGTATGAAAATGTCACACTGAAACCCACTATTACGCATAATTGTTACATGCTAGTAAAAGACTGAGGAAGGCACTTGACACTGACCTCTGACCTCAACATTCACAAAAATCCTACTAAAAATTTCTAGGCATGAATATTTGGCTTTATCCCCAGTAAGAAACTCAAGACTTATATACCTCTGGTCTCATATAGTAAATAAGCCAAAAAAACTACAGAAACCTGTAATGATAAAGGTTTGGGATAACTAATTTATAAGGGACGCTGGATAAAGCAAGAACTATTTTACCTGTGTATATTAGATTAACATTTTTACATTTTAACAAACTTTAAATGGAACTATATAGAAATGCTTTATGCCTGATGTAGAGGAATATTTACTACATAGGAATATATATGTATACTTATTCATGTACTTATTTATTGAATTCAAGTAGTAAAGAGTACAGAATACTAGTGAGAAATTCTAACCTCTTAGCTCTTAGGTGATATGACTAGGAATACAAACCTTCAGTGATTTTTGCAATATAGGCCAGCAAGTCCACCTGCTGCGCTTCGCTGGACGATGACACAGAATACAGAGGAAGTTCCTCTTGAAACTTGGCGATCATTTCTTTAATTAGTCCAACAATCACAGATTTAGGCTGAAGAATACATGCAAAGGGAAAAGTTACACAACATTTTTTCTAAAGAACACTAATGTTATATTGTCAGTTGGTCAAGTGATCCTTGCACGATGCAGTTGAAGATCTACAAACACCGACTCCCAGACTTCCTACTGAGAGCCTACACATCTTCCTTCATCCACACTGGGAACTGAACTCACAGCCTTGCACATGCTAAGCCAGTACTTTACACTGAGCTCCATCTCCAGCCTTACCAATAACAAAACAGCACACATTCTGTAAGCTATATCACTAGAGTGAAAAATACATGGCAGCCGCTTGATGTCACTTTATACAGAATCTTAAAGGGATGATCAATCATGAGAAACTTATGGAAGCAGAAGGAAGCCCCAGCAGTACCTAACACTCTACATGGGCCAGCTCACTCCACACAGTTGTAACACTGTTTGCTCACACTATGGTTACAGGTGAAGGGCGCCACGTGTGATCTTTCAGTGTCAGAGTACAGGTGTGTGTATACACACGTCCAAGCTTTTTATCTTTTTAGGGGTTTTGTTTTATTTTGGGGAGTTCTGGGTCTACTGCTTGTTTCTAAGCTTTTACGCTTTGTAGCCAGGACAGCTGAGAACCGTACCTCAGACTGGCTCAAACCTGTTAAGTGTGGTGCCTCAGCCGCCTTGGTACCACACTCGGCTCTCTAAGCTTGATAGATCTTACCTTTTGTAACAGAGTTATGCAGCCTTTACAGTAGTAATAGTTAACACAGTGTCTTTTTACTTTACACATTAATGACAACCTTTTCTTCGAAGCCAGGTTGTCAAAGGTGATCTATATTCAGTTATTTCCTCATTTTTCTGACCACTATACAAAATGCCTTTAACGCTTTTAATATTCTTAACTGAAAGGTACAAATAAATCCTATCTTACAGCAAGTGGCTTCACTAGAGATCTCATGGAAAACATTCCACAAACCTACTCAATACAGGTGGAAAAAGCTAAACAAACATGAAAATGCCAAACCAACATGAAAAAGCTAAACCAACATCTTCCAAATATAGAATAGGATAAACACACTTTGTAACAGAATACACAGCATTGAAACTTTTTATTTTTTGAAGTCATTTCAGACTAATATGGAAGCTACAACAAATAGCATGTATCTGCCATCCAGGCCAAAACAACATTCTAGCCCTTATTTTCTAAGTCATGTAAAAATAAACTGCAGACAGCCATTTTATCCCTACAAAATTTATCCCTAAAAATTTTGTGTAATATCCTTACAAAAGAAAGAAGGGCTGGAGAGACGGCTCAGCAGTTAAAGCACTGGCTGCTCTTGCAGAGGGCCTGGGTTCATTTTCCAGATTAAACAGAGTATGATTAACTTACACAAAGTTAAAAAAAAATGTCTACAGATAGCATAAAAATTGTTACTAGGCAGGAGCTAGGAAACTAGGAGGTTCAGTGTTTTGCTGATAGCATTTTATATACCTCCTCAAGTGTAAAGTGTCAGCTGGCTCCCAGTCCTAGAGGAAGTAGATGTACAGGCTGACAGGATTCTGGAATGTCAGACTCAGAGCTCGATTTCAAACTGCTTCTAAAGAACACTGAAGAATGTAATTGAAAGATTATCAAAGTGTATTGGTGCATGCCTTTAATCCCAGTACTCGGGGCAGAAGCACCAGATTTCTGGGAGTTTGAGGACAGCCTGGTCTACTCAGGAAGTTCCCAAAGGCCTACATGGTAAGACCGTGTCTCAACAGCAAAACAGTAAGTAAGAAAGAGAGGAAGATGCAGCATGTTTAATGTACTACAAAGATCAAAGACAAACATTCAGGAAAATGACACTTAGAGGAAATCCAAGTTGGCCTTACATGGCTCCAGTTTTGAAGATAGGGCAAGTATATTCTGCCTTTGGCATCCACGTGTTTTCCCACTGAGATTTCCATGTTTGCAGTTGGCTTCAAGAAACAAATGGGTGGAGCAAAAGGATGGGAATCCAAAATCCAGAAGCGAATGGGTATGTTGTATGTATTACCTATTGAAAATGAAATAAGCACTCACTGACATATACACTCTGTATATGTGATGCAGCTAGATGCCACTTTAAAAACAGATTGCCAGGCATAGAGGTAAAAGCTTATAATTCTATCTAATGGTGCTGAGGTAGGAGGGTTGCAAGTTTGAAGCCAGTCTAGACAACACCAAGACCCTGCCTCAAAATAAAACGGGCTGAGCTGTCGCCCAGTGGTAGAGTCTTTGCCTAGTGTGTGTGAGGCCCTGGGTTCGATCCTAAATATTGCAATAACAGGAAGAAAGAGGGTAGCTGAGCTTGTATTGTAAAGGATGGATGTAAATCATCCTGCTTTTCTGTATAGTACCAGCTAACATCGAAACTAAGTTGACAATGGTCAATGGAGCAACTCAGAAAGAAGCCTGGGACAAAGCTTGCTTGTCAGAGTCTTCTCCATGTAGTCTCCTTTGTGCACCCCAATTAGACACTCTACAGCTTCTCTACTTTGTGATTTATTTTGCATTGAAATTATTTACTTACCCAGCCTAATTTATTGTGGATTTTCTCTCTTTGTTTTTATATCCCCAGGATCAGGTATTGGGCTTAATATACTAGCTGCTAAGTAAGTCTGTCATATAAATAAGAATGGACCAACATAGGCTGGAGAGATGGCTCTGTGGTTAAGAGCACTGTCTGTTCTTGCAGAGGTCCTGAGTTCAATCCCCAGCAACCACATAGTGGCTCACAACCACCTATACTGTGATCTGGTACTCTATTCTGGTACACAGGTGTACATGCAGATAGAGCTCTCATATACATAAAATAAATAAATCTTAAAAGAATAGACCAACAGCTAAGCTACATACACAAAACAGAGGAGAAAGTCACCTTTTCTTAGAGATCCTTAAACTTCAGTGTATGTCAGACTCAAAGAAACTGAAAAACATGCAGATTCCTGGAACCTAGTGAGAGTGGGGTAGGACCAAAATGCTCTGAGCACATTTGACACACACTCATACCACAAAGTGAGAGTAGGGGAGGGTGGTTTGAGTAGTCCATGATTATTTTAGAAATCCTATTCTTTGGAAGTGCTCGATGTTCTTTTCAGAAAAAAAAAAAAAAAAAAAATCAGGCTTGATGTAAGACCCTGGGTTCATAGCCAGCACTGCAGTTATGCTAGATCGAGATTGATCAGGCAGACCTCAACAGAAGTGACTGTCTTTCACCCAGAAAAATGAAGGAAGGGCAGCTGTCTGTCTGTGAATGGAGACTGCGACCAAGCGCAGGGAGCTGGAAAAGGAAACTTTTGGGGTAGAAATTTTTATCTCTAGACTTGTTCTTTGTAGTCTCAGGGCCGAGTAATGCTAAAACGAGCTGGCCTTGGCAGGCGTCCTCATCCCATCTGGATTTCCTGCCAGGCAGGTAGCTTCTCCGAGGCTCTTTGTTTTAGGTCATTAGCCCTGAACAACTCTACCTGGGAAGAGGGGAGAGGTAGAAAGGCACCTGACTGCACACTCTTCCAATTTTAGTCATGTAGGTCAGACCTACGAGTTGCCAGTCTTGGCAACAGGTCAGATGTAAACAAATAGTTCTCTTCTTCACTGTAATCTTTTCTCTCTGTGGAAACCATCTTTCTACTAAAAGCTACTTTTCTTATCTTGCTTCCTCCCCACTAAGCCGTGATTACACATTTTATAGACGTGTTTTGGCCATATCCCTCATGAGTCTGATGCAAACGTAACAATATTCCATTGCTAATATGCAACCAGGACTGTAATTAGCACATGACAGACATGTTAAAACCTGGCAATCTACCAGTTATACTGGTATTTCTTAGAACCATCCTGTATTGACAGTGTGGGGTATGGACAGAACCCTATCCGTTGGCCCATAGAAAACCCTATGACTACAAAATTACGTGATCGTAGACCATAAAGTGGCCAACAAATACAAATAAACACCATCACATTTCTCTAGAAAGTAGCTACTGGCCAGTGGTGACACGGCTGGAGCAGGGTTTTCCAACTGGAAGCTGGAAATGTGTGAAGCCGAGGGTTTGATTTCCAGGATTGGGGTGGGAAGAGTACTGCAAACAACCATACTACTTTGAACAAGACTTGGCATAAGGATCAATGGCCTAACTACAAGCCTATATGAAAGGCGGAGTATCAGTGGGCTTCACAGTACTGATGGTCTTAAGATAGCCCCCTTGTGGGGCTGGGGTTTGGCAGAGGGCTTGCATGTTTAGGGTTTGAACTCCAGCTTTGTGAGGGGATACCACAATACCTAGAAACTGAAATGACACTAGGCAATGACTACTAAAATGATAAATCTGAAATCAGCAGAATATTAAGAATTATTCTCTTGCCTCAAAATGAATTACCTGAATCAGTTTCCTTCCCCCTCTTCTCTTTCCTCATTCCCTTCCCTTTCTTCTTAACATCTACCCAAGGAAAGTGCAGAATAGAAGTAATGACTCATAGGCGTGAGTGAGGTTCTGACAGCCAGAACACAGGCTGAGATCCTGGCAGGAGAGAAGTACGGAAAGCAAAGATGGATGAGTTCTGCCTCGAAGCCAAGGCTTTCATCTTCAATCACAGGCAGAAAAAAGGCACGCTTCTTAGAAAAGGTCACCACTGTCGAGAGAGGAGTTAGGGAGCTGGCCATGGTATAGAGATTAACATAGGGGAATGCCTGACATCCAAGAAGTCCAATACCGAACCCTTTCCTCCCTATGTCAGTTGCTCTCCCAAAGCCCTCTTAGTGCATTAACTCTTTCAACTCTTTCAAAGGCCCACTGAGTTCATTTATCCCTAAGCCTCCAGACAGCAGTCAAGTAAACTAACTCATGAGCACATTCAAGGAAGCATTACTCAGTGTTATTAGTCATTCCAGATGTTCCTGTCTGGAGTGATCTGAAAGTGAACGGACATTTTGTTTTGTTTGAGAAGTCTCAGTGTGTAAGTTGCTCTTTGACTCTCCTGCCCCAGCACCCTAAGTCCAGGATTACAAATGTCCCCTTTACACATCAAGAGCAAATGTTTAACGGTGGAACTGTGGCCACTACCTCAGGGAAGTATTTTGAAAACAGAGCTTTGCTGGTGTTTTTTAAATGATACATCGTATAAGCAATCTTCTACTATTCCAAAGGTTACATTGTTGACATAGCAGTAAGTAGGGAATGGCTAAGAGAGGTTAAGGAATGAGTTTTTCCTTTTGGTGCACTGAACTCTAAAATGTCCAGGAATACACTACAACACAATGAGCTCAGTCATGTGACGAGGCTGTGTTCCCTCAGTCACGAGATTCAGTTTTACCTACAGAACAGGTAGAAGGCTACATCCCAGAGAAGGAATGACAGGGACAAGAGCACAGGTGTCTCTAGGAAACTAAAGGACCCTGGCACATCGTTACAGAGAGCAAGGCTGTCTCTCTTCAGAGCATGTCTCTCTCTGATGCTCTCTTCTGTCCTCAGCACCCCTGGCCTAGTAGAAACTAGTTGACAAGTATTTGTTAAATGGAATTAACATTATTCTAGCCATCCTCAACATACACAGAATCCTGCCCGATCTAGTCAGGTCCTGAACAGACCTCGGGTATATGTGAAAACACTTTCAGACTGCTGTGAACCAGCTCTTATCAAATGAGCTGCGCCAGCGGGAAGTCCCTCGGAAGTCCCGGGTCCCTCCGCTTCTTACCCTGGTACATCACAGGAATAGTCCCAGTGAAATTTAGCAGGTCTTTTTGGGAAGTATCTTTGAAAACTGGAAGAGAAGACAAAGTTCCAAAATGTCAGTCAGAAGTAGGGAGTAGTAGTCAAAGTGTATGACTGTACATGCAGAGGTGTCAAAGTAGACAAGAAATAAACCACAAAACTTTGACACCCAAGTCCAAATCTGAAGCCTACCTTCCTTTTTGTTTTCAAGTCAGGCGTTCTCTGTGTAGCTGTGTAGCCCTGGCTGCCCTGGAACTCACTGGTAGACTAGGCTGGCCTTGAACTCACAGAGATACTCCTTCTGCTCCTGGCTCCCAAGTGCTGTGTCCGTTCCCCCCCACCCCGCCTTGGTTTTTCAAGATAGGGTTTCTCTGTGTAACAGTACTGGCTGTCCTAGAACTTGTTCTGTAGACCAGCTGGCTTCCTACTCACAGAGATCCACCTGCCTCTGCGCCACCACACCCAGCTCCCTCTTCCTCTCTTAAAAGGCATGTAACTTGCCAGGCAGCAGTCCTACGACTTGTAGTTGAGAGGTGGAAGCAGAGGGACTGACATGACATGCTGACTGAGAGCGCCATACAGATCCACCTGTCTCAAGTCCACAGACGGGAGGAAGGGAGCCTGGGTAGTGGAGCTCGGCCAGTATGCACGGTGCGCTGGCCTCAACTCCATCACCAAAGAAAGCAGGGAGTGGCAGTGCCTGCAAGGAATCCCAACACGCAGGAGGGGGAGGAGGGTCAGAAGTTCAAGGCTATCCCTAGCTACACAGCAAGTCCTGAGATTAAAAACAGAAAAATAATTTGGAAGCCTTTTTTTGTTTTTTTGTTTTGTTTGTTTTCGGTTTTTCGAGCCAGGGTTTCTCTGTGTAGCCTTGGCTGACCTGGAACTCACTTTGTACACCAGGCTGGTTTCAATTTCATTGAGATCTGCCTGAGATTAAAGGCGTGAGCCACCAACCACGGCCTGTCTAATTTGGAAGCTCTTTAGGACAGATAATTAGTAATCCAAATAATGCAGCAAGGACTAGAGAATGTTATTCATACCATAGGTGTCCATGGAATATCTGAAGTGTGGGAAAAATTCGTTCACATTCTTCAGCTCTTCCACAGTCAGATCCCTGAATTTGTACTGAAATGAAAGGAACGGGCACAGAATGAGAACAAAGCTATTAAGATTAAGTATCTGCGGTAATCCAGCCCCAGGGCAGGACCAAGCTCTTTACAATGGTACAAGTGTCATCACTATTTGACTCATTATGAATGTGAGGGTCTCACTTCATAGGTCAGGCTGGCCTCGAGCTGGCCACCTTCCTGTCTCCATCCCCTAAATGCTAGGAACGAGTTGTGCACTAGGGAATAAGTGGAGTTTACAACCACTCTATTTTATGAAGTAAAATGAAATCTAGAGAATCCATGCAACTTGCTAAGTCAGACGCCAAGTGAAGCAGCAAACCCCAAGCCCCGGGCCTTGATTAATTAAATCTAAACGCCTCCAAATACCCCAAGGGCCTATGGGACAACACAGGGTAAACACCTGTCACTCTTCAAGAGCCACTCTCCCTTAAAAACTTTATTTATTTAATGTAGGTATGTACGTGTGGGTTCACATGGAGGGCTGAGGACAGCTTGCAGGAGCTGGCTCTTTCCTCCTACCATTCCCGCTCCAGGGATCAAAGTCAAGGCGGTCCCGCCTGATGGCAGGTGTGTCCACCCATCCTGGCAGTCCCTTTTCTCTAAATGCCTCCTTCACTAGAGACATCCTGACTTTCCTCCTCCACCTTCAGACAGTAATCTGGGTTTCAAAGGGGGAATGATTACAAGCAAGAGCTTGCTACAAGCCAGTGAACTGCCTCTACCCATCTGTCTTTGTGACCTTGCACACACCACCATGTAACTTCTTTCAACTTATTTTCTTACCTGCAAAGAGAAATAGTATCTACTCCCTAGACTTTCCATGAGGATTAAATGAAAGGAGGCAAATCTATCAATATCCTGAAAATAGGATAAAACTACTTGGAAATAAGTGCAGAAAGGTGATGTTGAAAACTTAACACTGTTTAAAGAAATAAAATGGAAAGCTATTTTAAATGGAAGAGATGCTGTGTCTGTGGATATAAAAATGTCAAGATAATAAGATTCAGCATAATCCCTTAGCAAAAGTTCAGCTGAGTTTTAAAAAGTCTGAGAACGGGGCTGGAGATGTATCTAAATGTTAAAGCATTTGCTTAGGGTATCCAGGAGGCCTGGTTGGTTAGGATATCCAGGAGGCCTGGTTGGTTAGGATATCCAGGAGGCCTGGTTGGTTAGGGTATCCAGGAGGCCTGGTTGGTTAGG